GCGACATTCTGCGTCCCGCACTCCTCTCCTGTCATGTACACAGCAATCCGCACCGCTACGGCCTATGTCTGCGACATTCTGCGTCCCCCGCATTCCCTCCTGTCATGTACACAGCAATCCGCACCGCTACGGCCTATGTCTGCGACATTCTGCGTCCCGCATTCCCCTCCCGTCATGTACACAGCTACAGCCTATGTCTGGCGACATTTGCGTCCCGCATTCCCCTCCCGTCATATGTACACAGCTACAGCCTATGTCTGCGACATCTGCGTCCCGCCAATCCCCTCCTGCATGTACACACGGCAATCTGCACAGCTACAGCCTATGTCCTGCGACATCTGTCTGCGTCCCGCATTCCCCTCCTGTCATGTACACACAGCCTACAGCCTATGTCTGCGACATTCTGCGTCCCGCATTCCCCTCCTGTCATGTACACAGCTACAGCCTATGTCTGCGACATTCTGCGTCCCGCATTCCCCTCCTGTCATGTACACAGCTACAGCCTATGTCTGGATGTACATTCTGTCCCGCATTCCCCTCCCGTCATGTACACAGCAATCCGCACCGCTGCCACAGCGTATGTCTGCGACATTCTGCGCCCCGCATTCCCCTCCGTCATGGGGAATATACAGTCACTCAGCAGTCTGGCAGCTCCAGGGTTAATCGCTCGCAGCACCAATAGAGATACTTTAGCACCAAGATTCCCGGCGTGTGCAGTGACATCACAGCCAATCAGAACTCAGCTTTCAGCGGTCCAATGCTATGAGTCGCTGATCTGAATGCAGTTCATTCAATGGAGCCGTATGAGGGCCGGGGCCTGCAGATCCTCCGTCCTGAGAATGATCTGCCCCTCCCCCCATGTCATGGATGTAGATGTGTGTATGTCCCCCCCCCCATGTCATGGATGTATTGTGTGTATGTCCCCCCCCCCCATGTCATGGATGTAGATGTGTGTATGTCCCCCTCCCAGTCACAGGGAGCACCGACCTTCATAAGTCAGTGTGCCAAAAGACATGGTCCTGTGTACTTCGGGAGCTGTGCCACTGGTGCTCTCCTGACCATGTGTGTTCCCACATCCCCATCATGGACAGCAAGTTAGAACAAAGCGCCAACGTGAGATTCTGCGTGAAACCGGGCAACTCTGCCGCAGAGACGTCGGGCACGATTCGGCAAGTTTACGAGTCGTTCGAGGTGATCTGAGCAGCACGTGCTCTTCAAGAGTGGAAGAACATCACTGGAAGACAACGAGAGAACAGGGAGACCTTCAACCAGCTCAACCCCCGAAAATGCCGTCTTCCTGAAGATGAAGATCCAGATCAACCCCCGAAAATGCCTTCTTCCCAAAGATGAAGATCTGGCTCAACCCCCGAAAATGCCTTCTTCCCGAAGATGAAGATCCGGCTCAACCCCCGAAAATGCCCTCTTCCCGAAGATGAAGATCCAGATCAACCCCCGAAAATGCCCCCTCTTCCCGAAGATGAAGATCCAGATCAACCCCCGAAAATGCCCTCTTCCCGAAGATGAAGATCTGGCTCAACCCCCAAAAAATGCCCTCTTCCCGAAGATGAAGATCCGGCTCAACCCCCGAAAATGCCCTCTTCCCGAAGATGAAGATCCAGCTCAACCCCCGAAAATGCCCTCTTCCCGAAGATGAAGATCCGGCTCTCAACCCCCGAAAATGCCCTCTTCCCGAAGATGAAGATCCGGCTCAACCCCCGAAAATGCCCTCTTCCCGAAGATGAAGATCCGGCTGAACCCCCGAAAATGCCCTCTTCCCGAAGATGAAGATCCGGCTGAACCCCGAAAATGCCCTCTTCCCGAACATGAAGATCCAACTCAACCCCGAAAATGCCCTCTTCCCGAAGATGAAGATCCGGCTCGAAAATGCCCCCCGAAAATGCCCTCTTCCCGAAGATGAAGATCCGGCTCAAACCCCCGAAAATGCCCTCTTCCCGAAGATGAAGATCCGGCTCAACCCCCGAAAATGCCCTCTTCCCGAAGATGAAGATCTGGCTCAACCCCCGAAAATGCCCTCTTCCCGAAGATGAAGATCCGGCTCAACCCCCGAAAATGCCCTCTTCCCGAAGATGAAGATCCGGCTCAACCCCCGAAAATGCCCTCTTCCCGAAGATGAAGATCCGGCTGAACCCCGAAAATGCCCTCTTCCCGAAGATGAAGATCCGGCTCAACCCCCGAAAATGCCTTATTTCCCGAAGATGAAGATCCGGCTCAACCCCCGAAAATGCCCTCTTCCCGAAGATGAAGATCCGGCTCAACCCCCGAAAATGCCTCTTCCCGAAGATGAAGATCCGGCTCAACCCCCGAAAATGCCCTCTTCCCGAAGATGAAGATCCGGCTCAACCCCCGAAAATGCCCTCTTCCCGAAGATGAAGATCCGGCTCAACCCCCGAAAATGCCCTCTTCCCGAAGATGAAGATCCGGCTCAACCCCCGAAAATGCCCTCTTCCCGAAGATGAAGATCCGGCTCAACCCCCGAAAATGCCCTGCCCTTCCCGAAGATGAAGATCCGGCTCAACCCCCGAAAATGCCCTCTTCCCGAAGATGAAGATCCGGCTCAACCCCCGAAAATGCCCTCTTCCCGAAGATGAAGATCCGGCTCAACCCCCGAAAATGCCCTCTTCCCGAAGATGAAGATCCGGCTCAACCCCCGAAAATGCCCTCTTCCCGAAGATGAAGATCCGGCTCAACCCCCGAAAATGCCCTCTTCCCGAAGATGAAGATCCGGCTCAACCCCCGAAAATGCCCTCTTCCCGAAGATGAAGATCCGGCTCAACCCCCGAAAATGCCCTCTTCCCGAAGATGAAGATCCGGCTCAACCCCCGAAAATGCCCTCTTCCCGAAGATGAAGATCCGGCTCAACCCCCGAAAATGCCCTCTTCCCGAAGATGAAGATCCGGCTCAACCCCCGAAAATGCCCTCTTCCCGAAGATGAAGATCCGGCTCAACCCCCGAAAATGCCCTCTTCCCGAAGATGAAGATCCGGCTCAACCCCCGAAAATGCCCTCTTCCCAAAGATGAAGATCCGGCTCAACCCCCGAAAATGCCCTCTTCCCGAAGATGAAGATCCGGCTCAACCCCCGAAAATGCCCTCTTCCCGAAGATGAAGATCCGGCTCAACCCCCGAAAATGCCCTCTTCCCGAAGATGAAGATCCGGCTCAACCCCCGAAAATGCCCTCTTCCCGAAGATGAAGATCCGGCTCAACCCCCGAAAATGCCCTTTTCCCGAAGATGAAGATCCGGCTCAACCCCCGAAAATGCCCTCTTCCCGAAGATGAAGATCGGGCTGAAGGGTCGCTGTTTGGAGAACATGGCAGGGATCCAGCGATTTGCCCGGTTTCATGCAGAATCTCACGTTTGCCCCTTGTTCTTTCTTGCTCTCCATGATGAAACTGCAGACCCGATAACGCACGCGGTCAGAAGAGCACCAGTGGCACAGCTCCCGATGTACACAGGACCATGTCTTTTGGCACACTGACTTATGAAGGTCGGTGCTCCCTGTGACTGTGTGTGCAGCCTTGTGCTGCCATCTGTTTGTGTGTTACAAAACTAGTCTCCAATCTTTTTGATCCCGCCTATAGAATGTAGTATGTGGAGGGAGAGGGGTTCACATTCTCCGGGGGGACACCTTAGACAGGATCACATTTCTGGCCCCCTGTTCTTGTGTATGTCCCCCTGTGTCATATATGTTGATGTGTGTATGTCCCGTCCATATCATGTATGTAGATGTGTATGTCCCCCTGTATCATATATGTTGACATGTATGGCTCCCCTATATAATGTATGTAGATGTGTATTTCCCCCCTATATTATGTATGTAGATGTGTAAGCCCCCCATATCATGTATGTAGATGTGTAATCCCCCCCATATCATGTATGTAGATGTGTATGTCCCCCCCCATATCATGTATGTATTCCCCCTGTATCATGTATTGTAGATGTGTATTCCCCCCTATATCATGTATGTAGATGTGTATTCCCCCCTATATCATGTATGTAGATGTGTATTCCCCCCTATATCATGTATGTAGATGTGTATGTCCCCCCATATCATGTATGTAGATGTGTATTCCCCCTATATCATGTATGTAGATGTGTATTCCCCCTATATCATGTATGTAGATGTGTATTCCCCCCTATATCATGTATGTAGATGTGTATGTTCCCCCATATCATGTATGTAGATGTGTATGTCCCCCCATATCATGTATGTAGATGTGTATTCCCCCTATATCATGTATGTAGATGTGTATTCCCCCTATATCATGTATGTAGATGTGTATTCCCCCCTATATCATGTATGTAGATGTGTATGTCCCCCCATATCATGTATGTAGATGTGTATTCCCCCTATATCATGTATGTAGATGTGCATGTCTCCATATATCGTGTATGTAGATGTGTATTCCCCCCTATATCATGTATGTAGATGTGTATTCCCCCCTATATCATGTATGTAGATGTGTATGTCCCCCCATATCATGTATGTAGATGTGTATTCCCCCTATATCATGTATGTAGATGTGTATTCCCCCCTATATCATGTATGTAGATGTGTATTCTGCCCTATATCATGTATGTAGATGTGCATGTCTCCATATATCGTGTATGTAGATGTGTATATTTTATCCATATCATGTATGTAGATGTGCATGTCTCCCTATATCATGTATGCAGATGTGTATTCTCCCCCATATCATCTATGTAGTTGTGTATTCTCCCCTATATCATGTATGTACTGTAGATGTGTATGTCCCCCCTATATCATGTATGTAGATGTGGACAGAGAGGGGTTCACAATCTTTGGGGGACATCTTGAACAGGATCATGTGTGGCCCCTGGTTCCTGCGTGTAGAGGGGGGGGGGGGTCCATGCCATGCCAGTTTGGTCATTATGGCCATCTTGTTTGGTAAGCTTTGGTGTCATGCGAGCTCCGCCAAGCTTCGGGGTCCCCCCCATTCATGCACTGGACCTCCTCCAGTCATATCTCTGCCTTGGCAGTGGCGGTGTCAATCTTGCGGGAGGCCGGGCCCAGTTCCACTTTACAGACACGCTGAGCGAAGTTCAGGGAGCAGACGGTCTCCCCGATGTTCTCCTCCAGGGGGGACACCTGACAAGAGACAGACAATGAGAACCCATCTCCTGCCCTAGGACAGGTGGAGGAGCTGCTGTACAGGACGTCAGGTGTGTGACTACAAATGTTCCTCTTCCCTATGAATCACGAACTTCTCCAGGAGGAGCCCCCTTGTTCCTCTCAGTCCTATGAGGACTTGGTCCTCAAATGAGGACAGTTGGTTACTTCATCTGATAAGGGTCAAACTTCTAGGGGCCCCCACCCAGGAGGAGCCCCCTTGTTCCTCCTCCCTACTTCATTGTCAAATGACAGGAGAATGGTCTATCCTATCCGTGACTATTTCTCTTTGTATCCTGTACAGCTGCTCCACCCAACACTGACCTCTGTACATCCCAGCATGCAGACACCATGGCACACGCTATAGACTCCCAGCATGCATTAGTATTTGTGTGTGTAGTTGCCATTCCCAGCATGCAGTGGTGCAGCTTTCTCTACTCCCAGCATGCACTGGTGCAGCAGTCTTGCCCCCAGTGGTGCCAACCTGGACCATCATGACGGTCTTGTTCCCTTTGCCCAGAGAGTCTTGCAGCAGGTAGGTGAGTTTGGAGTTGCGGAATGGGATGTGGGACTGCTTGGCTCTCAAGGCCTGAATCACCTCACCCAGGGCCAGCAGGGACTTATTTATATTCTGGGCCTCCTTCAGCCTCTCGCCCTCTGCCCCGGACTTGCACACCCGCTCCGAGCCGGCCAGGTCCACCAAATTCAGCTTTCCTGAAGGAGAAGGACACAGCTAATGTGCCGAGTATGGTAATCCTTCATACTACTGCTGGTACAAGGAGGACAAACATACTACATGACAAGTGTTAGGTTCCTGGAGTATGGTCCTTAACCTCAGTATCGGCCAATGAGTGCTATATACCTGTAGAACCTGTCCCTGTAGTCTCGGTGAGGGTATCACCTGTAGAACCTGTCCATAGACTCGGTAAGGAGTATCACCTGTAGAACCTGTCCATAGTCTCGGTGAGGGTATCACCTGTAGAACCTGTCCATAGTCTCGGTGAGGAGTATCACCTGTAGAACCTGTCCATAGTCTCGGTGAGGAGTATCACCTGTAGAACCTGTCCATAGTCTCGGTGAGGAGTATCACCTGTAGAACCTGTCCATAGTCTCGGTGAACCTGAGGAGGAGTATCACCTGTAGAACCTGTCCATAGACTCGGTGAGGAGTATCACCTGTAGAACCTGTCCATAGTCTCGGTGAGGAGTATCACCTGTAGAACCTGTCCATAGTCTCGGTGAGGAGTATCACCTGTAGAACCTGTCCATAGTCTCGGTGAGGGGTATCACCTGTAGAACCTGTCCATAGTCTCGGTAAGGAGTATCACCTGTAGAACCTGTCCATAGTCTCGGTGAGGAGTATCACCTGTAGATCCTGTCCATAGTCTCGGTGAGGAGTATCACCTGTAGAACCTGTCCATAGACTCGGTGAGGAGTATCTCACCTGTAGAACCTGTCCATAGACTCGGTGAGGAGTATCACCTGTAGAACCTGTCCATAGTCTCGGTGAGGAGTATCACTGTAGAACCTGTACTCGGTGAGGAACCTGTCCATAGTCTCGGTGAGGGGTATCACCTGTAGAACCTGTCCATAGTCTCGGTGAGGGGTATCACCTGTAGATCCTGTCCATAGTCTCGGTGAGGAGTATCACCTGTAGAACCTGTCCATAGTCTCGGTGAGGAGTATCACCTGTAGAACCTGTCCATAGTCTCGGTAAGGATCACCTGTAGAATCCTGTCCATAGTCTCGGTAAGGAGTATCACCTGTAGAACCTGTCCATAGACTCGGTGAGGAGTATCACCTGTAGAACCTGTCCATAGTCTCGGTGAGGAGTATCACCTGTAGAACCTGTCCATAGACTCGGTGAGGAGTATCACCTGTAGAACCTGTCCATAGTCTCGGTGAGGAGTATCACCTGTAGAACCTGTCCATAGACTCGGTGAGGAGTATCACCTGTAGAATCTGTCCATAGACTCGGTGAGGAGTATCACCTGTAGAACCTGTCCATATTCTCGGTGAGGAGTATCACCTGTAGAACCTGTCCATAGACTCGGTGAGGAGTATCACCTGTAGAACCTGTCCATAGTCTGTAGAACCTGTCCATAGTCTCGGTGAGGAGTATCACCTGTAGAACCTGTCCATAGTCTCGGTGAGGAGTATCACCTGTAGAACCTGTCCATAGTCTCGGTGAGGAGTATCACCTGTAGAACCTGTCCATAGTCTCGGTGAGGAGTATCACCTGTAGAACCTGTCCATAGACTCGGTGAGGAGTATCACCTGTAGAACCTGTCCATAGTCTCGGTGAGGAGTATCACCTGTAGAACCTGTCCATAGTCTCGGTGAGGAGTATCACCTGTAGAACCTGTCCATAGTCTCGGTGAGGAGTATCTCCTGTACAACCTGTCCATAGTCTCGGTGAGGAGTATCTCCTGTAGAACCTGTAGAACCTGTCCATAGTCTCGGTGAGGAGTATCACCTGTAGAACCTGTCCATAGTCTCGGTGAGGAGTATCACCTTACCTGTAGAACCTGTCCATAGTCTCGGTGAGGAGTATCACCTAGAACCTGTCCATAGTCTCGGTGAGGAGTAACCTGTAGAACCTGTCCATAGTCTCGGTGAGGAGTATCACCTGTAGAACCTGTCCATAGTCTCGGTGAGGAGTATCACCTGTAGAACCTGTCCCTGTAGACCTGTAGAACCTGTCCATAGTCTCGGTGAGGAGTATCACCTGTAGAACCTGTCCATAGTCTCGGTGAGGAGTATCACCTGTAGAACCTGTCCATAGTCTCGGTGAGGAGTATCACCTGTAGAACCTGTCCATAGTCTCGGTGAGGAGTATCACCTGTAGAACCTGTCCATAGTCTCGGTGAGGAGTATCACCTGTAGAACCTGTCCATAGTCTCGGTGAGGAGTATCACCTGTAGAACCTGTCCATAGACTCGGTGAGGAGTATCACCTGTAGAACCTGTCCATAGTCTCGGTGAGGAGTATCACTTACCTGTAGAACCTGTCCATAGTCTCGGTGAGGAGTATCTCCTGTACAACCTGTCCATAGTCTCGGTGAGGAGTATCTCCTGTAGAACCTGTCCATAGTCTCGGTGAGGAGTATCACCTGTAGAACCTGTCCATAGTCTCGGTGAGGAGTATCACTTACCTGTAGAACCTGTCCATAGTCTCGGTGAGGAGTATCTCCTGTAGAACCTGTCCATAGTCTCGGTGAGGAGTATCTCCTGTACAACCTGTCCATAGTCTCGGTGAGGAGTATCACTTACCTGTAGAACCTGTCCATAGTCTCGGTGAGGAGTATCTCTGTCCTGTAGTAACCTGTCCATAGTCTCGGTGAGGAGTATCACTTACCTGTAGAACCTGTCCATAGTCTCGGTGAGGAGTATCACTTACCTGTAGAACCTGTCCATAGTCTCGGTGAGGAGTATCTCCTGTAGAACCTGTCATAGTCTCGGTGAGGAGTATCACTTACCTGTAGTACCTGTCCCTAGACTCAGTGAGGAGGATTGCATACCTGTCTACCTGTCTCTGGATTTGGTGAAGAGTACTGTGTACCTTATTACTTGTCCCGAGATTGAGTGAGAAGTATTACTGTACCTGTCTCTGGATTTGGAAAAGAGTATTACATATCTGTAGTACCTGTCCCAGGACACAGTGAGGAGGACTGCATGCCTGTCTCTGGATTTGGTGAAGAGTACTGTGTACCTGTAGTACCTTTCCCAGGACTCAGTGAGGAGGATTACATACCTGTTCCCGGATTTGGTGAGGAGTAACATGTACCTGTCCCTGTATTACCTGTCCCCAGGCTCGGTGAGGTGTTTTACATACCTGTAGTAATGGCCCCAGAGCTGAATTCTCGGCCAGTGATGGTGATGGTCAGTAGGGCGTGGGAGCGAGAACTGTGCTCATTCATGTTGGTGCAGAATGTGGCTCGGTTGCGCCTCCCTAGGGCCAGGAGCTGAGGAAATGGTCACATATTAGTCTCCTGGCAGCTGCCATCTTGTGCTTTGACCTCTTGGAGGTGATAGTAACACTGGTATGGCTGACTATTGTCTCCGAGGGCAGAGGATGAAACGGATTGAGGATTATTTATCAATCCGGGGATCTTTTATACCTTTTTAATGTGGCGAAAACTCTTGACCTCCATACTGGTCAGGCCTGGCACATGAAGCTGACCGCTGCCATCTGGGTTGAGCTTGATGTCCAGCTTGTCCTGAGGGTCCCGGGAGAGAAGGTCTCTGCAGAAGAAGACATTGCCAGACTGTTAGAAGTAATGTCTACATTCTCTGTGTGCAAGCATTGACAGGAGATATACATCATGGATCTCAGCTCATAACGTGAAATCCAGAGATCTTTACCTGGGGGGGACACAAAGGTTCACCAACCTTCCCCAGAATCCAGAGATCATTATCGGGAATGGAATGGACACAAAGGTTCACCAACCTTCCCCAGAATCCAGAGATCATTATCCGGAATGGAATGGACACAAAGGTTCACCAACCTTCCCCAGAATCCAGAGATCATTATCGGGAATGGACATAAAGGTTCACCATCCTTCCCCAGAATCCAGAGATCATTATCGGGAATGGACACAAAGGTTCACCAACCTTCCCCAGAATCCAGAGATCATTATCCGGAATGGAATGGACACAAAGGTTCTCCAACCTTCCCCAGAATCCAGAGATCATTATCGGGAATGGACATAAAGGTTCACCATCCTTCCCCAGAATCCAGAGATCATTATCGGGAATGGACACAAAGGTTCACCAACCTTCCCCAGAATCCAGAGATCATTATCGGGAATGGACATAAAGGTTCACCATCCTTCCCCAGAATCCAGAGATCATTATCGGGAATGGAATGGACACAAAGGTTCACCAACCTTCCCCAGAATCCAGAGATCATTATCGGGAATGGAATGGACACAAAGGTTCACCATCCTTCCCCAGAATCCAGAGATCATTATCGGGAATGGAATGGACACAAAGGTTCACCATCCTTCCCCAGAATCCAGAGATCATTATCGGGAATGGACACAAAGGTTCACCAACCTTCCCCAGAATCCAGAGATCATTATCCGGAATGGAATGGACACAAAGGTTCACCAACCTTCCCCAGAATCCAGAGATCATTATCGGGAATGGAATGGACACAAAGGTTCACCAACCTTCCCCAGAATCCAGAGATCATTATCGGGAATGGAATGGACACAAAGGTTCACCAACCTTCCCCAGAATCCAGAGATCATTATCGGGAATGGACATAAAGGTTCACCATCCTTCCCCAGAATCCAGAGATCATTATCGGGAATGGACACAAAGGTTCACCAACCTTCCCCAGAATCCAGAGATCATTATCGGGAATGGACACAAAGGTTCACCATCCTTCCCCAGAATCCAGAGATCATTATCGGGAATGGACACAAAGGTTCACCAACCTTCCCCAGAATCCAGAGATCATTATCCGGAATGGAATGGACACAAAGGTTCACCAACCTTCCCCAGAATCCAGAGATCATTATCAGGAATGGACACAAAGGTTCACCAACCTTCCCCAGAATCCAGAGATCATTATCGGGAATGGAATGGACACAAAGGTTCACCATCCTTCCCCAGAATCCAGAGATCATTATCCGGAATGGAATGGACATAAAGGTTCACCATCCTTCCCCAGAATCCAGAGATCATTATCGGGAATGGAATGGACACAAAGGTTCACCAACCTTCCCCAGAATCCAGAGATCATTATCGGGAATGGACACAAAGGTTCACCATCCTTCCCCAGAATCCAGAGATCATTATCCGGAATGGAATGGACACAAAGGTTCACCAACCTTCCCCAGAATCCAGAGATCATTATCCGGAATGGAATGGACATAAAGGTTCACCATCCTTCCCCAGAATCCAGAGATCATTATCGGGAATGGAAAGGACACAAAGGTTCACCAACCTTCCCCAGAATCCAGAGATCATTATCGGGAATGGACACAAAGGTTCACCATCCTTCCCCAGAATCCAGAGATCATTATCCGGAATGGAATGGACACAAAGGTTCACCAACCTTCCCCAGAATCCAGAGATCATTATCCGGAATGGAATGGACACAAAGGTTCACCAACCTTCCCCAGAATCCAGAGATCATTATCGGGAATGGAATGGACATAAAGGTTCACCATCCTTCCCCAGAGTCCAGAGATCATTATCGGGAATGGAATGGACATAAAGGTTCACCAACCTTCCCCAGAATCCAGAGATCATTATCGGGAATGGACACAAAGGTTCACCATCCTTCCCCAGAATCCAGAGATCATTATCGGGAATGGACACAAAGGTTCACCATCCTTCCCCAGAATCCAGAGATTATCGGGAATGGAATGGACACAAAGTTTCACCAACCTTCCCCAGAATCCAGAGATCATTATCGGGAATGGAATGGACATAAAGGTTCACCATCCTTCCCCAGAATCCAGAGATCATTATCGGGAATGGACACAAAGGTTCACCAACCTTCCCCAGAATCCAGAGATCATTATCGGGAATGGACATAAAGGTTCACCATCCTTCCCCAGAATCCAGAGATCATTATCGGGAATGGAATGGACACAAAGGTTCACCAACCTTCCCCAGAATCCAGAGATCATTATCGGGAATGGAATGGACACAAAGGTTCACCAACCTTCCCCAGAATCCAGAGATCATTATCAGGAATGGAATGGACACAAAGTTTCACCAACCTTCCCCAGAATCCAGAGATTCTTGTCGGGAATGGAATGGACATAAAGGTTCTCCATCCTTCCCCAGAATCCAGAGATCATTATCGGGAATGGACACAAAGGTTCACCAACCTTCCCCAGAATCCAGAGATCATTATCCGGAATGGAATGGACACAAAGGTTCACCAACCTTCCCCAGAATCCAGAGATCATTATCGGGAATGGACACAAAGGTTCACCATCCTTCCCCAGAATCCAGAGATCATTATCGGAATGGAATGGACACAAAGGTTCACCAACCTTCCCCAGAATCCAGAGATCATTATCGGGAATGGACACAAAGGTTCACCAACCTTCCCCAGAATCCAGAGATCATTATCCGGAATGGAATGGACACAAAGGTTCACCAACCTTCCCCAGAATCCAGAGATCATTATCGGGAATGGACACAAAGGTTCACCAACCTTCCCCAGAATCCAGAGATCATTATCCGGAATGGAATGGACACAAAGGTTCACCAACCTTCCCCAGAATCCAGAGATCATTATCGGGAATGGAATGGACACAAAGGTTCACCAACCTTCCCCAGAATCCAGAGATCATTATCGGAATGGAATGGACATAAAGGTTCACCATCCTTCCCCAGAATCCAGAGATCATTATCGGGAATGGAAAGGACACAAAGGTTCACCAACCTTCCCCAGAATCCAGAGATCATTATCGGGAATGGACACAAAGGTTCACCAACCTTCCCCAGAATCCAGAGATCATTATCGGGAATGGACACAAAGGTTCACCATCCTTCCCCAGAATCCAGAGATCATTATTGGGAATGGACATAAAGGTTCACCATCCTTCCCCAGAATCCAGAGATCATTATCGGGAATGGAATGGACACAAAGGTTCACCAACCTTCCCCAGAATCCAGAGATCATTATCGGGAATGGAATGGACACAAAGGTTCACCAACCTTCCCCAGAATCCAGAGATCATTATCGGGAATGGAATGGACACAAAGTTTCACCAACCTTCCCCAGAATCCAGAGATTCATTATCGGGAATGGAATGGACATAAAGGTTCTCCAACCTTCCACCAGAATCCAGAGATCATTATCGGGAATGGAATGGACACAAAGGTTCACCAACCTTCCCCAGAATCCAGAGATCATTATCAGGAATGGAATGGACACAAAGGTTCACCAACCTTCCCCAGAATCCAGAGATCATTGTCGGGAATGGAATTGACACAAAGGTTCACCAACCTTCCCCAGAATCCAGAGATCATTATCAGGAATGGAATGGACACAAAGTTTCACCAACCTTCCCCAGAATCCAGAGATCATTATCGGGAATGGAATGGACAGAAAGGTTTCACCAACCTTCCCCAGAGTCCAGAGATCATTATCGGGAATGGAATTGACACAAAGGTTCACCAACCTTCCCCAGAATCCAGAGATCATTGTCGGGAATGGAATGGACATAAAGTTTCACCAACCTTCCCCAGAATCCAGAGATCATTATCGGGAATGGAATGGACATAAAAGTTCACCAACCTTCCCCAGAGTCCAGAGATCATTATCAGGAATTGAATGGACATAAAGGTTTTCACCAACCTTCGCCAGAGTCCAGAGATCCTTGTCGGGAATGGAATGGACATAAAGGTTCACCAACCTTCGCCAGAGTCCAGAGATCCTTGTCGGGATTGGAATGGACATAAAGGTTTGTCAACCCTCCCCAGAGTCCGGAGATGGTTTTCTGGGATACAGTAAACATGAATGTTTGCTGACCTTCACAAGAGTCTGAACATCGTTATCCAGGATGGAATGGACTTGAAGGTTCCCTGACCTTCCCCAGAGTCTGGAGATCATAATCCAGGGAAAAATGGACATGGAGATACACTGACTTTCCTCAACCTGTTGTTGGAGTCCAGAGATTGTTATCCCCTGTGGAAAGGACGTGAATCTTCACCGGCTTTCTACAACCTATCTGTGGAGTCCAGAGATTGTTAACCAGGGGAGGAATGGACATGAACTTTCACCAAACTTCCCCAACCTATCTGTGGATTCTGGAGATGTTATCTGGAGTAGAAATAGAGGGTTCATCAACCTTCTTAATAGGAAGATCGTTATGTAGTGTGGAATGGAGATGAAGGTTCACTGACCTTACCAAATCTATCTGTAAAGTCAACAGATCATTATCCAGTGTGGATTGGACCTGAAGGTTCACCTTTCCTCCTCAACCTACCTATGGCATCCAGAGATTGCTTTTCAAGGTGGAATGGATATGAACATTTATTGGGTGGCACAGTGGCTTAGTGGTTAGCATGTTTGCCTTGCAGTAAAATGGGTCATGGGTTTGATTCCTGACCATGGCGCCTCCTGCATGAAGTTTGCATGTTCTCCCTGTGCTTGCGTCAGGTTTCCTCCGGGTGCTCCGGTTTCCTCCCACACTCCAAAGACATGCTGGTAGGTTAATGGGATCCTCTCTAAAAATTGGCCCTAATATGTGTATGTATGAATGTGAGTTAGGGACCTTAGATTGTACGCTCCTCTCGGGGCGGGGACTGATGTGAATGTACAATATATATGTAAAGTGCTGCGTAAAATTGACAGCGCTATAGAAGTACCTGAAATAAATAAACTGACCTTCTCCAAAGTCTAAAGATCATTATACAGGGGGTGGAATGGACATGAAGGGTCACCAACCTTTCCTAATATACACTGAGGAACAGAAGTATTGAACCCCCTGCGATTCTGCAAGTTCCCCCACTTCTCCATCATGGAGGGTCTGACATTCACATTGCAGGGGATTCCCACTCTGAGGACAGAATTCAGGAGATCACATTGCAGGGGATTCCCACTCTGAGGACAGAATTCAGGAGATCACATTGCAGGGGATTCCCACTCTGAGGACAGAATTCAGGAGATCACATTGCAGGGGATTCCCACTCTGAGGACAGAATTCAGGAGATCACATTGTATGATTTGTAAAGAATGTATTTGTCTCGCACGGCTGAACAGAAGGATTTGAACCCCTGAGAAGCAGCAAGAATTCTGGCTCTCAAAGACCTGTTACTGCGCCTTTATAAAGTCCCCCTCTACTCCACTCATTCATCTCACTTAGTAGCCCCTGTCTGAGCTCTTTACAGACACCTGTCCACCCCACAGTCAGTCAGATGCCAACTACTACCATGGGCAAGACCAAAGAGCTGTCAAAAGACACCAGAGACAAAATTGTGGACCTCCACAAGGCTGGAAAGGGCTACGGGGCAATTGCCAAGCAGCTTGGTGAAAATAGATCAACTGTTGGAGCCATTGTTAGAGAATGGAAGAGGCTAAAGACGACTGTCAGTCTCCCTCGGACTGGGGCTCCATGCAAGATGTCACCTCGTGATGAGAAGAAAGGTGAGGAATCAGCCCAGAACTACAAGGGAGGAGCTGGTCAATGACATGAAGAGAGCTGGGACCACAGTTTCACAGGTCACTGTCGGTAGAACACTACGCCGTCATGGTTTCCAATCATGCATTGCACGGAAGGTGCCCAAGTCATCCCCTGCTCAAGTCATCACATGTCCAGGCCCGTCTGAAGGTTCCCCTGCTCAAGTCATCACATGTCCAGTCCAGATTGCCCCGTCTGAAGGTTCCCCTGCTCCAGTCATTACATGTCCAGGCCCGTCTGAAGGTTCCCCTGCTCAAGTCATCACATGTCCAGGCCCGTCTGAAGGTTCCCCTGCTCCAGTCATCACATGTCCAGGCCTGTCTGAAGGTTGCCAATGACCATCTGGATGATCCAGAGGAGGCATGGGAGAAAGTCATGTGGTCAGAGGAGACCAAAGGAGAACGTTCTGGTCTAAACTTCACTCGTCATGTTTGGAGGAAAAAGAAGGATGAGGTGCATCCCAAGAACACCATCCCTACTGTGAAGCATGGGGGTGGGAACATCATGCTTTGGGGGTGCTTTTCTGCGAAGGGGACAGGACGACTGCACTGTATTAAGGAGAGGATGAATGGGGCCATTTATGGTGAGATTTTCAGCAACAACCTCCTTCCCTCAGTCAGAGCATTGAAGATGGGTGGTGGCTGGGTCTTCCAACATGACAACGACCCGAAGCACACAGCCAGGAGAACCAAAGGAGTGGCTCCGTAAGAAGCATATCGAGGTTCTGGAGTGGCCTAGCCAGTCTCCACACCTAAATCCAATAGAACATCTTTGGAGGGAGCTGAAACTCCGTGTTGCTCAGCGACAGCCCGAAACCTGACAGATCTAGAGGAGATCGGTGTGGAGGAGTCGGCCAAAATCCCTGTTGCAGTGCAAACCTGGCCAAGGACTACAGGAAACGTCTGACCTCTGGAATTGCAGACAAAGGCTTCTGTACCAAATATTAACACGGATCTTCTCAGGGGTTCAAATACTTCTGTTCAGCCGTGCAAGACAAATACATTCTTTACAAATCATACAATGTGATCTCCTGAATTCTGTCCTCAGAGTGGGAATCCCCTGCAATGTGATCTCCTGAATTCTGTCCTCAGAGTGGGAATCCCCTGCAATGTGATCTCCTGAATTCTGTCCTCAGAGTGGGAATCCCCTGCAATGTGAATGTCAGACCCTCCATGATGGAGAAGTGGGAGAACTTGCAGAATCGCAGGGGGTTCACATACTTCTGTTCCTCACTGTATCTATGGAGTCTGGAGATCGTTATTAGGGTGTGGAAAGACATGAAGGTTTGCAGACCTATATCTGAAGTCCAGGGATCTCTATCTGAGGGGTGGAATGGACAGGAAGGTTTGCAGACCTTACCTCAACCTATATCTGAAGTCCAGGGATCTCTATCTGAGGGGTGGAATGGACAGGAAGGTTTGCAGACCTTACCTCAACCTATATCTGAAGTCCAGGGATCTCTATCTGAGGGGTGGAATGGACAGGAAGGTTCACTGACCTCCCCCAACCTATGTGTAAAGGCCAGAGATCATTCTCTAGGGGTGGAATGGACATAGTCTGACATTTTATAGATGGCCAACTCCTCTCCTAATCCCGATCCGTGGCTCCAAGTAGGGAACAGCACGACACGCCCAGCACCTTTCCAAACACCTGTTCCGTTTTCGGACTCATTTGACATTTTCTATAGACACGCTTACACCGGATTTGGTGTTACCTTGAAAACATTGAAACGGTAAAATATGTGATCACCAAAATATTTTTTGTCATTTACCTTCCTCGTTCCCACCCTGCCAGGTTCTCGTCTCTCTTTCATTCTGGGGGTGTCCCATGGCATTGTGGGCAATAATACCATTGGTCCTTAGAGAGATTAGCCTTCACGTGTCTGGTGCCCAAGCAATGCTTCTGTTTGCTTCCAGACTCCTTCCTTGTGTACTTACAGTAAGTCCTGCCTATTTCTTCTTCCTTGTACCAACCTCAGTTCTCTCCTGGATTGCTTGTCTGCCCTGACCCCCTGGCGTGTCTTCTGGTTCTTCATCTCAGCAGAGTTCAGTCTGCTCCAGTGAGGTCCGCAATCCCCGTGCCTGGTCCGGTCCACTCTTCATCCATTGTGCTCCTGTGTTGGGGTCTGCCGTCTTGTTGTCTGGTCCGATCTGCTGTTCCTGTCCTGGCCTGTTGGGCTGTGTTCCACAATCCTCAGTCCCACAGTAGGGTTCCTGTCTCCACTGCTGCCACTAGAACGCCCCCTCACTGGCTTCTGCTAGTGCGATGTATTGTCCACACATTAGAGCAGGGTGGACCTATCAAGTCACATTTTGGGGCCAGCATGCATGTGGGGTCAGCAAGTCCAAACCTCTGTGAGGGAGTCCCTGGCAGAACACCTTGGACTCTGTGCCCAATGGAATCCCACATCACCTGCTCACAAGTCAGTTTACTTCCTGTACTTGGTGGCCAGTGGCTTTGAACCCTCATAAAACTAGCACAACACGCAGAACTGAGCTCACTGCTAACCACCAAGCCACTGTGCTGCCCTCTCCTTTCCATTGACTCACCGGATGACCTCATTGTAGATCTCCACCATACTCAGTGTGACGGCATAACTCCACAGGCCCTTCCGTGCCTCCATCTCCTGGTACAGGGCCCGAAGGGACTGAAGGTTCATCCCAGGATTGTCTGCTGTCCCCTGGGGAATATAAAATATATAGAGCTGAACATCATCTGGACCTCCACCCCACTACCTGAGGATCCTCCTGCAGGTAATGAAGTATAGCAGACTGACCAATCAGATAAAAGCTCAATCTGGGGTGGAAGTCCACCTGCGGAGGATGGAGGACTGAAAACATGAGGAGAACATTTCATCCCTGAAGAATGTATTGACTCTGATGATGGGATGGACGAAGGGGACATTCCCCACCCTGGAGTGAGATGAATGGAGAGGACACTTACCTCCCTGGGGTGAGATGAATGGAGAGGACACTTACCTCCCTGGGGTGAGATGAATGGAGAGGACACTTACCTCCCTGGGATGAAATGGAGGAAGGAGATACTTACATCCCTGGTATGAGATGGATGGAGGGGACACTTACCTCCCTGGGATAAGGTGGATGGATGGGAAAATTACCTCCCTGGGATGAGATGGATGGAGGGGACACTTACCTCCCTGGGATGAAATGGAGGAAGGAGATACTTACATCTCTGAGATGAGATTATTAGAGGGGAGATTTACCTCCCTGGTATGAGATGGATGGAGGGGACACTTACCTCCCTGGGATAAGGTGGACGGATGGGAAAATTACCTCCCTGGGATGGGTGGAATGGACACTTACCTCCCTAGGATGAGATCAAACTAGAGGACAGTTATCACCCTGGGATGCCATGAGCAGAAGGGACACTTTCCTCTCTGGGATGAGATGGAGGGAGGAGATACTTACCTCCCTGGGATGAGATGGATGGAGGGGGCACTTACCTCCCTTGGATGAGATGGATGGAGGGCATGCTTACATCCCTAGGATGAGCTAATCAGAGTGGAGATTTACCTTCCTGGTATTAAATGGATGGAGGGGAAACTTACCTCCCTGGGATGGATGGACAGGATACTTCACTCCCGAGAATAAGATGGACTAAACTAACCTACCTGAAATGAGATGGTTGGAGAGGACACCTACCTCCCTGGGATGAGATGGACAAAAAGAGCACTTACCTCTTTAGGATGTATGGAGAGGACACTTGCCTCCCTGGGATGAGATGGACAGAGGGGACACTTACTTGTTTGGGATAGATGGAGAGGACACTTACCTCCCTAGGATGAGATGGACAGGGGGACACTTACCTCTTTGGGATAGATGGAGAGGACACCTACCTCCCTGGGATGAGATGGACAGAGGGGACACTTACCTGTTTGGGATAGATGGAGAGGACACACTTACCTCCCTAGGATGATATGGATGAGGAGGGCATGTACCCCACTGGCATGAGATGGACAGAGAGGACACTTACCTCCCTAGGATGATATGGATGAGGAGGACATGTACCCCACTGGCATGAGATGGACAGAGAGGACACTTACCTCCCTAGGATGATATGGATGAGGAGGACATGTACCCCCTGGCATGAGATGGACAGAGAGGACACTTACCTCCCTAGGATGATATGGATGAGGAGGACATGTACCCCCTGGCATGAGATGGACAGAGAGGACACTTACCTCCCTAGGATGATATGGATGGATGAGGAGGACATGTACCCCCTGGCATGAGATGGACAGAGAGGACACTTACCTCCCTAGGATGATATGGATGAGGAGGACATGTACCCCCTGGCATGAGATGGACAGAGAGGACACTTATGTCCCTGAGATGTGATGCATGAAGAGGACACTAATCTAGGAATGAGATGGACAGAGAGGACACTTATGTCCCTGAGATGTGATGCATGAAGAGGACACTTAATCTAGGAATGAGATGGATGGACTTACCTCCATGGTGTATGTTTTTCCAGAACCGGTCTGTCCATAAGCGAAGATACAGACATTGTAGCCATTGATGCAGGATGTGACCACGGGTTCAATCTCCATGAAGACCTGAAGACCAATAGAGAATGGTGTCATTGATGAAAATGTTCACACGGGGAATCCTCCATGTAGACGTAACATTTAGTGAGGAATCCTCCATGTAGACGTAACATTTAGTGAGGAATCCTCCATGTAGACGTAACATTTAGAGCAATCCTCCATGTAGACGTAACATTTAGTGGGGAATACTCCACGTAGACGTAACATTTAGTGAGGAATCCTCCATGTAGACGTAACATTTAGTGGGGAATCCTCCATGTAGACGTAACATTTAGTGGGGAATTCTCCATGTAGACGTAACATTTAGTGAGGTATTCTCAATGTAGACGTAACATTTAGTGGGGAATTCTCCATGCAGACGTAACATTTAGTGGGCAATCCTCCATGTAGACGTAACATTTAGTGGGGAATACTCCATGTAGACGTAACATTTAGAGGAATTCTCCATGCAGACGTAACATTTAGTGGGGAATTCTCCATGTAGATGTAACATTTAGTGAGGAATCCTCCATGTAGACGTAACATTTAGTGGGGAATCCTCCACGTAGACGTAACATTTAGTGAGGAATCCTCCACGTAGACGTAACATTTAGTGGGGAATCCTCCATGTAGACGTAACATTTAGTGGGGAATTCTCCATGTAGACGTAACATTTAGTGGGGAATTCTCCATGCAGACGTAACATTTAGTGGGAATCCTCCATGTAGACGTAACATTTAGTGGGGAATTCTCCATGTAGACGTAACATTTAGTGGGGAATACTCCATGTAGACGTAACATTTAGAGCAATTCTCCACGTAGACGTAACATTTAGTGGGGAATTCTCCATGAGACGTAACATTTAGTGGGGAATCTCTCCATGTAGACGTAACATTTAGTGAGGAATCCTCCATGTAGACGTAACATTTAGAGGAATTCTCCACGTAGACGTAACATTTAGTGGGGAATTCTCCATGTAGACGTAACATTTAGAGGAATCCTCCATGTAGACGTAACATTTAGTGGGGTATTCTCCACGTAGACGTAACATTTAGTGGGGAATCCTCCATGTAGACGTAACATTTAGTGAGGTATTCTCCACGTAGACGTAACATTTAGTGGGGAATCCTCCATGTAGACGTAACATTTAGTGGGGAATCCTCCATGTAGACGTAACATTTAGTGGGGAATTCCTCCATGTAGACGTAACATTTAGTGGGGAATCCTCCATGTAGACGTAACATTTAGTGGGGAATCCTCCACGTAGACGTAACATTTAGTGGAGGAATCCTCCACGTAGACGTAACATTTAGTGAGGAATCCTCCATGTAGACGTAACATTTAGTGGGGAATCCTCCACGTAGACGTAACATTTAGTGGGAATCCTCCATGTAGACGTAACATTTAGTGGGGAATTCTCCATGTAGACGTAACATTTAGTGGGGAATTCTCCATGTAGACGTAACATTTAGAGGAATCCTCCATGTAGACGTAACATTTAGTGAGGATTCTCCACGTAGACGTAACATTTAGTGGGGAATCCTCCATGTAGACGTAACATTTAGTGAGGTATTCTCCACGTAGACGTAACATTTAGTGGGGAATCCTCCATGTAGACGTAACATTTAGTGGGGAATCCTCCACGTAGACGTAACATTTAGTGGGGAATCCTCCATGTAGACGTAACATTTAGTGGGGAATCCTCCACGTAGACGTAACATTTAGTGAGGAATCCTCCACGTAGACGTAACATTTAGTGGGGAATACTCCATGTAGACGTAACATTTAGTGGGGAATACTCCATGTAGATGTAACATTTAGTGGGGAATTCTCCATGTAGACGTAACATTTAGTGGGGAATTCTCCATGTAGACGTAAACATTTAGAGGAATCCTCCACGTAGACGTAACATTTAGAGGATTTCTCCACGTAGACGTAACATTTAGTGAGGAATTCTCCACGTAGACGTAACATTTAGTGGGGAATACTCCATGTAGACGTAACATTTAGTGGGGAATACTCCATGTAGATGTAACATTTAGTGGGGGAATACTCCATGCAGACGTAACATTTAGTGGCAGGAGAACACAAAGAGAGGAACCATGAGGAACCCAGATATACACTCAGCAATCATTTCCAGGACATCGTCAGAACCCTCATCTTTGTCTTCATGATGTTCCATGAATGGTTCCATGAATGGTTCCATGAATAGTTCTATGAATAGTAATGAGTCAGCTGACCTCTTCTTGGGTGGCTTCCGGTAAGAAGACTTTATCCAACTCGAAGCTTTTCTCCTTCCCTTTATAGGTGATGGACGTTCTGGTGTCATCATTGACATCAGTGATGATGGCGGAGAGTTGGGAGCTCTTCTGGTCAGTGAGGTCCTTGTGTGGTCGCACTCGGCACAACACCCTGATATTTCCTGGCCAATAAAGGAAAAGGGTCAGCGTGCGACCACCTCTGTACACGACATGTTCACTTTCATCTCCATCGCAATGCAGTAAGATGTTCCTCAGCCCCCCAACAAATCATATCATCTTATTATGACCCCTCAGTACTACATGCCCCCCGGTGTTCCTGCTGATGTCTTGCTGGGGGCCCGAGTTGGACCTTGGTGGTGATATAATCGAACACTCACCCTTTAGCTCCACAAGCTGGTTGTGATATCTCTTCCGTAATTGCACCTCCCGCTGATATTTCTGCAAGAGATCTTTGTTGGCTTCTGACACATTTGTCACGGCGTTACATATCTACAAGACACAACAATGACAGCACATTCTGGGTCCCACGTCTCCCATATGACATCCCTGTCCCTCCACTTTGTCATAGGCTGGACCCCCCTACCCTATTCTGTCTCCTAGGCCGGAGCCCCATTTCCCTTCCACACTCTGCCTAGTGTCTGGGCCACGCACCTGCCTTCGGGCCTCCTGGATAGAAGCTTCATAGAACTGGGAGAAGTTCCTCACTTGGCTCCTGAGACTGTTGTAGTTGGTCTTCATGTTCTTCAGAACTGGCTGTAGTGACACCAGGCGGCTCTGCACACCTACGGATTACACATATTAGTAAGTGGTCCTCCGGGAACTCAGGAGCTGCTAGATTATGGGTTAGATACAGAGCTAAAGGGACATCTACTGAAATCTGGTGATATTATGTGACCCTGAGACCACTGAACCTCCAAGTCACGCCTGCCCTGCCAGAAGCACCTTCCACATGACCTCTCCTCTGTATTTAGACCAGCAATGGGCAAACTACGGCCCGGCGGACCTTTTAATCCGGCCCGCGGAGCTAGGCTCCCGCTGGGCTCCTCTCACAGTCCGCCCTGAAGACCGGTGTAGCATGAAAATCTGTCTCCTATGAGGATCTGTCCCCCTCGACGTATCTGCGCATGTGCCGGAGATCGCCGATCGGCTGCTAACGCCTGAAACTGGCACATGCGCAGATACGTCGAGGGGGACAGATCCTCATAGGAGACAGATTTTCATGCTACACCGGAACGGCGCGGGAACACGGCGAGAGGAACGCGCGGAGCAAAGGTAAGTGAATTGACACAGGGGGGACTTGGGGACTTAATATGGGGGAATGAAATTACTATATGGGGGATGAATTACTATATGGGGGATGAATTACTATAGGGGGGATGAATTACTATGGGGGATGAATTAATATGGGGAATGAAATTACTATGGGGGATGAATTACTATATGGGGGATGAATTACTATGGGGGATGAATTACTATGGGGGATGAATTACTATAGGGGGATGAATTACTATAGGGGGGATGAATTACTATATGGGGGATGAATTACTATGGGGGATGAATTACTATAGGGGGGATGAATTACTATGGGGGATGAATTACTATATGGGGGATGAAATACTATATGGGGGATGAATTACTATATGGGGGATGAATTACTATATGGGGGATGAATTACTATATGGGGATGAATTACTATATGGGGGATGAATTACTATATGGGGGATGCATTACTATATGGGGGATGAATTAACTATGGGGGATGAATTACTATGGGGGATGAATTACTATATGGGGGATGAATTACTATAGGGGGGATGAATTACTATATGGGGGATGAATTACTATATGGGGGGATGAATTACTATATGGGGGATGAATTACTATATGAGGGATGCATTACTATATGGGGGATGAATTACTATAGGGGGATGAATTACTATATGGGGGAATGAATTACTATAGGGGGGATGAATTACTTATATGGGGGATGAATTACTATATGGGGGATGAATTACTATGGGGGATGAATTACTATATGGGGATGAATTACTATGGGGGATGAATTACTATATGGGGGATGAATTACTATATGGGGGGATGCATTACTATATGGGGGATGAATTACTATGGGGGATGAATTATTATATGGGGGATGAATTACTATGGGGGATGAATTACACTATGGGGGATGAATTACTATATGGGGGATGAATTACTATATGGGGATGAATTACTATGGGGGATGAATTACTATATGGGGGATGAATTACTATGGGGGATGAATTACACTATGGGGGATGAATTACTATATGGGGGATGAATTACTATATGGGGGATGAATTACTATGGGGGATGAATTACTATATGGGGGATGAATTACTATATATGGGGGATGAATTACTATGGGGGATGAATTACTATGGGGGATGAATTACTATATGGGGGATGAATTACTATGGGGGGGATGAATTACTATATGGGGGATGAATTACTATGGGGGATGAATTACTATATGGGGGGATGAATTACTATATGGGGGATGAATTACTATGGGGGATGAATTAATATGGGGAATGAATTACTATAGGGGATGAATTACTATATGGGGGGATGAATTACTATATGGGGGATGAATTACTATGGGGGATGAATTACTATATGGGGGATGAATTACTATATGGGGGATGAATTACTATGCTTACTATGGGGGAATATTACTATACTTACTATGGATGACACATACACATCATTCATCTACTCTTGGTCCGGCCCCCGGGTCCAATATATGAACCCATTGCGGCCCTCAAGTCAAAAAGTTTGCCCACCCCTGATTTAGACTCTACCAATAGGTTCCCTCATACAAAATGTAGACCCAGTGGTCAGGTGACTTACATGGAGCCATAGACTATGCTTTCTTTATGATGGAAGTATTTGTCTTTATTGAGTGCCCCATTCTCCAACCAGGTCATCATGTAATCAACACCCATGGTGATGAAGGAGGGGCTATTTCTACCAACCTATCAGCTGATCACGCAGAGTGTCCATGTGTTGCTCAGAGCATTCCGAAGCCTCTTTGATGGCTTCTTCCTTCTGCGCCTCCAGCTGGTGAATCTCCTGCATCAGGTGCTCCTTCAGCTTCTCAATCTCCACCTCGTAGCTGGAAATCTGGAGTCACAGGAAGAGCATTACATCAGGAGACCCTCCCGCTTCTCTGCCTTGGTATCTACATGTGGTAAAATGACCATGTGTCATCATGTTGGGTCTTCACTGCACCCGATCAAACCACAAACATCAGCAAAGTCTTCAGGAACTCCATCTCACACCAGGTCCCAGCACTGAACCACCACATGGTGAAATGATGTCACTATTCCACACACAATGTTGGTGTCTCGGGGTTAGTTGCTCCGTTCTGCCCTCCTATCAAAGCTCTCAGATCCTGGAATCATTCAGCTGGAACATTACTTGTGTTACCCCTTACTAGGTGCTAATTCTGGTGGACCTTTCTGCACAACCTTCTTCTCTCCCCATACAAGTCCTGCTCAAGGCAGGTCAGATGCACCCGTCAGTGACTTTTGCAACCTAAAGTCCCATGACACAAGTCCTATGAAGGTGCTAAAATCTGACTCCGTAATCATCTGGTCTACTAAAGCTCCAACCTTGAACAGTTTTAGCAAATCACGAATGAGATGGTGACCTTCCCTTTCTGGGCAGCCTCCTCTCCATTGTCTCCACCCTTTGTCAGTCCTAATTCTAGCCATCACCTAAAATTCAGCCAAACATCAATGGTCCCTGTTTGTTGTCTGGAATATGTCCTCTGCTGGTGACCTGCTCCCATAATTGTCTCTTGCTTCCTCCTCACTGAAGACTTCTCCTGTGCTGCGCCTGCATTCTGGACAGCTCTCCCCCACCCTCAGAGTCAGTGGATAATGAATGTTCCCAGGGCCCCAGGAAAATGGGCTCCTGAATTCCTGCCCTTCCTTTGAAGTCCTACCTCATCATTTACTATGAACACAAGAAGGATGTGGAATTCCCTTCCACAATCGGTGGTGTCACCGGGAAATATCAGCAAATTTTATAAAACCTAATAGATATGTGAGCCGATATTCAGGGATATGGGAAGTGCTAGACACACGCCCACACCGCCTGAACCGCCTGAACCGGCTGAACCGGCTGAACCGCTGAACCAGCTGAACCGCCTGAACCGCCTGAACCAGCTGAACCGGCTGAACCGCCTGAACCGGCTGAACCGCCTGAACCGGCTGAACCGCCTGAACCAGCTGAACCGCCTGAACCGCCTGAACCAGCTGAACCGCCTGAACCAGCTGAACCGCCCACACCACCTGAACCACCTGAACCAGCTGAACCGCCTGAACCAGCTGAACCGGCTGAACCGCCTGAACCGGCTGAACCTGAACCGTGCTGAACCAGCTGAAACCGCCTGAACCGCCTGAACCAGCTGAACCGCCTGAACCAGCTGAACCGCCCACACCGCCTGAACCACCTGAACCGGCTGAACCGGGCTGAACCGCCTGAACCAGCTGAACCGCCTGAACCGCCTGAACCAGCTGAACCGCCTGAACCGCCTGAACCGGCTGAACCGGCTGAACCGCCTGAACCGCCTGAACCGGCTGAACCGCCTGAACCGGCTTGAACCGGCTGAACCGGCTGAACGGCTGAACCGCCTGAACCAGATGGACTGATGTCTTTATTCAGCCTCACCAACTAGGTGACTACGAAGTCCTGCCCTTTCCTATGAAACCTTGCCTGCTTTTTGAAGCCTTCTTTTTCTTTGAAGCCCTGCCCCTTCTATTGAAGCCCTGCCCCTTCCTTTGAAGACCTGCCCCTTCCTTTGAAGCCCTGCCCCTTCCAGTGAAGCCCTGCCACTTGGTTTGAAGCCCCTGCCCCTTCCAGTGAAGCCCTGCCCCTTCCTTTGAAGCCCTGCCCCTTCCAGTGAAGCCCTGCCCCTTCCTTTGAAGCCCTGCCCCTTCCATTGAAGTCCTACTCCTTCCATTGAAGCCCTGCCCCTTCCAGTGAAGCCCTGCTCCTTCCATTGAAGCCCTGCCCCGTCCATTGAAGTCCTGCCCCTTCCATTGAAGCCCTGCCCCTTCCATTGAAGCCCTGCCCCTTCCATTGAAGTCCTGCCCATTCCATTGAAGCCCTGCCCCTTCCATTGAAGCCCTGCCCCTTCCATTGAAGTCCTGCCCATTCCATTGAAGCCCTGCCCCTTCCATTGAAGTCCTGCTCCTCCTTTGAAGTCCTAGCCCTTCCACTGAAGCCCTGCTTCTTCCATTGAAATCCTTCTTCTGCCATTGAAGCCCTGCCCATTCCATTGAAGCCCTGCCCCTTCCATTGAAGTCCTACCCCTTCCATTGAATCCCTGTCCTCTCTTAGAAGCCCTACTTCTTCCTCTAAAGCCCAAGACTTCCATTGAAATCCTACCCCTTCCAATCTGAGCCCTACCTCTTCCTTTGAGCCTGTGCTCACTTCATTGAAGTCCTGCCCCTTCTTTTGAAGCCATGACCCTTCCATTGAAGTCCTGCCCCTTCCATTGAAGTCCTGCTCCTTCCATTGAAGCCCTGCTCCTTCCATTGAAGTCCTGCCCCTTCCATTGAAGCCCTGCCCCTTCCATTGAAGTCCTGCCCCCTTCCATTGAAGCCCTGCTCCTTCCAATCTGAGCCCTACCTCTCTTCCTTGAGCCTGTGCTCACTTCATTGAAGTCCTGCCCCTTTTTTGAAGCCATGACCCTTCCATTGAAGTCCTACTCCTTACATTGAAGTCCTGCCCCTTCCATTGAAGTCCTGCCCCTTCCATTGAAGCCCTGCCCCTTCCATTGAAGTCCTGCCCCTTCCATTGAAGTCCTACTCCTTACATTGAAGCCCCGTCCTCTCTTAGAATCCCTACTTCTTCCTCTAAAGCCCAGGACTTCCATTGAAGACCTACCCCTTTCCTTTGAAGCCCTGCTCCTTCCAATCTGAGCCATACCTCTTCCTTTTGAACCCATTTCATTGTAGTCCTACCCAATATTTTGAAGTCCTGCTCCTTCCATTGAAGCACAGCCCCCTCCTTTGAAGCCCTACTTCTTCCTCTAAAGCCCCGTCCTTTACACTGAAGCCCTACCCTTTCCTTTGAAGAGCCACTCCCTTTATTTGAGCCCCGCCTCTTCCTTTATAGCCCTGCTCCTTCCTTTGAAGCCCTACTCCTTCCATTTGAACCCTAACACCTCCTTTGAAGTTTTACTCATTCCATTGAAGCCCTGCCCTCTTTTTAAAGGTCTACTGCCTCCTCTAAAGCCCTACCCTTTCCATTGAAGACCTGGTCATTCCATTGAAGTCCTACAGCTTCCCATGAAGTCCTACTTATTCCATTGAAGCCCAACCCCCCCCTTTGAAGACCAGCCCCCTCCTTTGAAGCCCAGCCCCCTCCTTTGAAGCCCACCCATTCTGTTGAAGTCCTACTTCATTCCTTTAACCCCCGTCCTTCCACTGGTGTCCTTCCTTTGAAGTCTTGCTCGTTCCTTTGGAGCTCTGAGGAAGGTGTTTCTCCAGCAGCTTCCAGCACTGCTGGGCACCACTTCACACACAGAGCAGCACTCCTGCCAGAGCAGTCAGTACAGTTTTGGGCGGAGCTCCCTTTTATAGGGTCCTTACCTTGGCCTGCAGGCCACTGGTGAGGTCCTCGGATCTCCTGAGCTGCTCCTCCAGCTGGTGGCATCGCTCTCCGTGGCTGGACACTTGGTCCATTAGTGTTTCGGTTCCTCTCCTCCGCCTGGGCTAAGTTGGTCCTCAATGTGGGGGATTCCACCTCCACCGTCTGCGTCACGTACTACAGAGACAGGGAAGATGTGGGCGGGGCCCTCTGATACCCACAATCCCTCAGTGTGGCACTGCAGCCCCCCGCTCCCCACCTGCACATCTGGAGCTTTGTGTCTCTCGCTCTCCAGCGACAGTTCCAGCACCTGGATCTTCTCCTCCAGCTGACGCGTCTCCTCCTCCCGCCGCCACTGCAGGGTGTCCATGTGGCCCTTGGTGTAGACCAGCTGCTCCACCTTCTCCTGCAGCGTCGTCTCCAGGTGGAGCACCTTACTGCGCAGATCCTCGTTTCTCCTGGGAGGGCGACAATGACCATTCATCAGCATTTCCTGCACTTCCTGTCGTGGTGACCACACAGGAAGTGTGGGGGAAATGTCCTCAAATGGGACACACACGGCAAAAAAAAACCTGACCTCGCTGGAGGGATCCACCGAACTTCCTGCCTGAAGGCTCTGCTTCCTCTCAGTGTAGTGTTTAGGAGGTAATATATAACCCATTACATACACGGGCCCTGCTTCCTCCTCGGTGTATATAGGAGGTAATATATAACCCATTACATACACGGGCCCTGCTTCCTCCTCGGTGTATATAGGAGGTAATAATATATAACCCATTACATACACGGTGTATTAGGAGGAAATATATATAATATATAAACCCAGTGTAACATCCTAAACGGGAGCCCTGGTCCTCCTCAGTGTATAGGAGGTAATAATATATAACCCATTACATACACGGGCCCTGCTTCCTCCTCGGTGTATATAGGAGGTAATAATATATATAACCCATTACATACACGGGCCCTGCTTCCTCCTCAGTGTATATAGGAGGTAATAATATATAACCCATTACATACACGGGCCCTGCTTCCTCCTCAGTGTATATAGGAGGTAATAATATATAACCCATTACATACACGGGCCCTGCTTCCTCCTCGGTGTATATAGGAGGTAATAATATATAACCCATTACATACACGGGCCTGCTTCCTCCGGTGTATATAGGAGGTAATAATATATAACCCATTACATACACGGGCCCTGCTTCCTCCTCGGTGTATATAGGAGGTAATAATATATAACCCATTACATACACGGGCCCTGCTTCCTCCTCGGTGTATATAAAAATAATAATATAAACCCATTACATAAACGGGCTCTGCTAAAAAGTGTATATAGGAGGTAATAATATATAACCCATTACATACACGGGCCTCTGCTTCCTCCTCGGTGTATATAGGAGGTAATATATAACCCATTACATACACGGCTAAAAAAAAAAAAAAAAATAATAACCCATACAACAAAAAAAAAATAGGATATAAGGAGGTAAAATATATAACCCATTTACATACACGGGCCCTGCTTCCTCCTCGGTGTATATAGGAGGATAATAATAAATATAAACCATTACATACACGGGCCCTGCTTCCTCCTCGTGTGTATATAGGAGGTAATAATATATAACCCATTACATACACGGGCCCTGCTTCCTCCTCCTCGGTGTATAAAAAGGTAATAATATATAACCCATTACATACATACACGGGCCCTGCTTCCTCCTCGGTGTATATAGGAGTAAAAAATATAACCCATTACATACACGGGCCCTGCTTCCTCCTCGGTGTATATAGGAGGTAATAATAAAATATAACCCATTACATAACGGGCCCTGCTTCCTCCTCGGTGTATATAGGAGGTAATAATAATAACCCATTACATACACGGGCCCTGCTTCCTCCTCGGTGTGTATATAGGAGGTAATAAAATATAACCCATTACATACACGGGCCCTGCTTCCTCCTCCTCGGTGTATAGGAAAAATAATATATAACCCATTACATACACGGGCCCTGCTTCTCCTCGGTAAATATAGGAGGTAAAATAAAATATAAACCCATTACATACAACGGGCCCTGCTTCCTCCTCGGTAATGTATATAGGAGGTAATAAAATATAACCCATTACATACACGGGCCCTGCTTCCTCCTCAGGTGTATAAAGGTAATATATAACCCATTACATAAACGGGCCCTGCTTCCTCCTCGGTGTATATAGGAATAAAATATAACCCATTAAACATACACGGCCCTGCTTATATAACCCATAAAAACGGGCCCTGCTTCCTAAGGTGTATAATAATAAATAATAAAACCCATTACATAACGGGCCCCTGCTTCCTCCTAAATAGGAAGTGTATAGGAGGTAATAATATATAACCCATTACATACACGGGCCCTGCTTCCTCCTCGGTGTGTATAAAAGGTAATAAAAATATATAACCCATTACATACACGGGCCCTGCTTCCTCCTCTCAGTGTATAGGTACAAGGTAATAATAATAATAACCCATTACATACACGGGCTCCCTGCTTCCTCCTCAGTGTATATAGGAGGTAATAATATATAACCCATTACATACACGGGCCTGCTTCCTCCTCGGTGTATAGGAGGTGTATATAGGTAAAAAAGAGGTAATAATAATAATAACCCATTACATACACGGGCCCTGCTTCCTCCTCGGTGTATATAGGAGGTAATAATATATACCCATTACATACACAGTGTATAAGGAGGCATTACATACACGGGCCCTGCTTCCTCCTCGGTGTATAGGAGGTAATAATATATAACCCATTACATACACGGGCCTGCTTCCTCCTCGGTGTATATAGGAGGTAATAATATATAACCCATTACATACACGGGCCCTGCTTGCCTCCTCGGTGTATAGGAGGTAATATATATAACCCATTACATACACGGGCCCTGCTTCCTCCTCGGTGTAAATATATAGGAGGTAATAATATATAACCCATTACATACACGGGCCCTGCTTCCTCTCGGTGTATATAGGAGGTAATAATATATAACCCATTACATACACGGGCCCTGCTTCCTCCTCGGTGTATAGGAGGTAATAATATATAACCCATTACATACACGGGCTCTGCTTCCTCCTCGGTACAGAACGGCAGATGTATAACTCATTAATCATTATCGCTGGGGATAGAAAAAGATGAGAAATACAAAATCTGAGTCCTCAGCAGAATAGGAAGGGGGGAAATGTTCCACTGAGGACATGTGTTCTGGGAAGAGGCAATACTTCAGTTTCACTTTCCCTTTGATTCCAATGCGTTTCACCCAATCACCTCTCTGACGTCTCCCTCTCCATGACAGCTATGATGGGGGATCTCGAAAACAAGCCTTCCAGAAGCCAGGATCACCCCTGGGGGGCGCTCCAGGCCAATTCTCCTTTCCCATTGGACTGATAGACCAGGGTGGGGAGGGGCTATTAATGGCTGGACTAAGAGGAAGGAAAGGGGCCCCTTTACACCGATTCACCAACACACCAGGATGGGGACCCCTGAACCGTCATGGCTGCCAGACGTTCCCTAATCCCCTGTTACTGGGTGGCGGTGTGTGGTCACATGACTGTCATGGGCCGCTGGGGTTGGTGGTACCTTCATGAGGTGGGCGGAGGGCTGGGAATTGATGGCGGCCAATTTCTCCAGGAGGCCCTGAGTGACGCTCAGACTCCTCTTCAGGCCTTGGTTCTCCACACTGAGGTTCTGGATGTGCTTCTCCGAGTCGGTGACACCCTGCGGGGACACCGAGATGTGACCCGAGACCTGGACCCTCAACTGCCCCCCATCCATGACCTCCATCCTACCCTCCCCCCAATGTCAGAGATCACTCCTCACTGTGCGGACCGGGGTCCTATCACTATCACTCCTCACTGTGCGGACCGGGGTCCTATCACTCCTCACTGTGCAGACCGGGGTCCTATCACTCCTCACTGTACAGACTGGGGTCCTATCACTCATCACTCCTCCTGTGCGGACGGGGTCCTATCACTCCACCCTGTGCGGACCGGGGTCCTATCACTCATCACTCCTCCCTGTGCGGACCGGGGTCCTATCACTCCTCACTCATCACTGTACGGACCGGGGTCCTATCACTCCTCACTCATCACTGTACGGACCGGGGTCCTATCACTCCTCACTCATCACTGTACGGACCGGGGTCCTATCACTCCTCACTCATCACTGTACGGACCGGGGTCCTATCACTCATCACTCCTCCCTGTGCGGACGGGGTCCTATCACTCATCACTCCTCCCTGTGCGGACCGGGGTCCTATCACTCCTCACTGTGCAGACCGGGGTCCTATCACTCCTCCCTGTGCGGACCGGGGTCCTATCACTCATCACTCCTCCCTGTGCGGACCGGGGTCCTATCACTCCTCACTGTGCAGACCGGGGTCCTATCATCACTCCTCACTGTGCGGACGGGGTCCTATCACTCATCACTCCTCCCTGTGCGGAACCGGGGTCCTATCACTCCTCACTGTGCAGACCGGGGTCCTATCACTCCTCACTGTGCGGACCGGGGTCCTATCACTCCTCACTGTGCGGACCGGGGTCCTATCACTCCTCACTGTGCGGACCGGGGTCCTATCACTCCTCACTGTGCAGACCGGGGTCCTATCACTCATCACTCTCCTCACTGTACAGACCGGGGTCCTATCACTCCTCACTGTGCAGACCGGGGTCCTATCACTCCTCACTGTGCGGACCGGGGTCCTATCACTCCTCACTGTACAGACCGGGGTCCTATCACTCCTCACTGTACGGACCGGGGTCCTATCACTCCTCACTGTACGGACCGGGGTCCTATCACTCCTCACTGTACGGACCGGGGTCCTATCACTCCTCACTGTGCAGACCGGGGTCCTATCACTCCTCACTGTACGGACCGGGGTCCTATCACTCATCACTGTACAGACCGGGGTCCTATCACTCCTCACTGTACAGACCGGGGTCCTATCACTCCTCACTGTACGGACCGGGGTCCTATCACTCCTCACTCACCATTTCTGCCCGGAGCTGAGTCAGTTCCTCTTCTCTCTGCTGAATCTTCTCCTTCAACTCTTCAATCTGATGGAGACATAGAGACTGTGCTAGTGTATAGACAGACCCCCCCGGACCCCCATAGTCAGACCCTCGGACCCCCATAGTCAGACCCTCGGACCCCCATAGTCAAACCCCCGGACCCCCCATAGTCAGACCCCGGACCCCCATAGTCAAACCCCCGGACCCCGATAGACAGACCCCCGGACCCCCATAGTCAGACCCTCGGACCCCCATAGTCAAAACCCCGGACCCCCATAGTCAGACCCACGGACCCCCATAGTCAAACCCCCGGACCCCCATAGTCAGACCCCCGGACCCCCATAGTCAGACCCCCATAGTCAGACCCCCATAGTCAGATCCCCATAGTCAGACAGAACCCCGGGACCCCCATAGTCAGACCCCCATAGTCAGACCCCCGGACCCCCATAGACCTCCGGACCCCCCATAGTCAGACCCCCATAGTCAGACCCCCGGACCCCCATAGTCAGACCCCCATAGTCAGACCCCCGGACCCCCATAGTCAGACCCCATAGTCAGACCCCGGACCCCCATAACTAGACCTCCGGACCCCCCATAGTAAGACCCCCCCCCCATAGTCAGACCCCTGGACTCCCATAACCAGACCTCCGGACTCCCCCCATAGTAAGACCCCCATAGTCAGACCCCCTGGACCCCCATAACCAGAACCCCCCCCCCATAGTAAGACCCCCATAGTCAGACCCCCGGACCCCCCATAGTCAGACCCCGGACCCCCCATAGTAAGACCCCCAGACCCCCCATAGTCAGACCCCCGGACTCCCATAATCAGACCCCCCAGACTCCCCATAGTCAGACTCCCATAATCAGACTCCCATAGTCAGACCCCCGGACCCCCCATAGTCAGACCCTCGGACCCCAATAATCAGACCCCCAGACCCCCATAGTCAGACCCCCATAATCAAACCCCCATAATCAGTACCCCGGACCCCCATAGTCAGACCCAATGGACCCCCATAGTCAGACCCCCGGACCCAGAGTCAATCAAACCCCATAGTCAGACCCCAGACCCCCATAGTCAGACCCCCAACCCCCATAGTCAGACCCCTGGACCCCCAGACTCCCATAGTCAGACCCCCGGACCCCCATAACCAGACCCCGGACTCCCCATAGTCAGACCCCCATAGTCAGACCCCCATAGTCAGACCCCCGGACTCCCCATAGTCAGACCCCCGGACCCCCATAGTCAGACCCCGGACCCCCATAGTCAGACCCATAGACAGACCCCCCATAGTCAGACTCCCCATAGTCAGACCCCCGGACCCCCATAGTCAGACCCCCGGACCCCCATAGTCAGACCCCCGGACTCCCATAGTCAGACCCCCGGACCCCCATAGTCAGACCCCCGGACTCCCCCATAATCAGACCCCCGGACTCCCCATAGACCAGACCCCGGACCCCCCATAGTCAGACCCCAGGACCCCCATATATCAGACCCCCGGACTCCCATAGTCAGACCCCCAGACCCGGACCCTCCATAGTCAGACCCCCGACTCCCCATAGTCAGACCCCCCCCATAGTCAGACCCCTGGACCCCATCATAGTCAGACCCCCGGACCATATTAAGACCCCATAGTCAGACCCCCGGACTCCCCATAGTCAGACCCCCGGACCCCCTATAGTCAGACCCCATAGTCAGACCCCCATAGTCAGACCCCCATAGTCAGACCCCCGGACCCCCCATAGTCAGACCCCATAGTCAGACCCCCATAATCAAACCCCCATCATATCAGACCCCCGGACCCCATAGTCAGACCCCCAGACCCCCATAGTCAGACCCCCAGACCCCGGACCCCATAGTCAGACCCCATAGTCAGACAGACCCCCGGACTCCCATAGTCAGACCCCCATAATCAGACTCCCCATAGTCAGACCCCCAGACCCCATAGTCAGACCCCCTGGACTCCCCATAGTCAGACCCCCGGACTCCCATAGTCAGACCCCCAGACTCCCCATAGTCAGACCCCTGGACTCCCCATAGTCAGACCCCCGGACTCCCCATAGTCAGACCCCCAGACTCCCCATAGTCAGACACCCGGACTCCCCATAGACAGACCCCCGGACTCCTCAATAGTCAGGACCCCGGACTCCCCATAGTCAGACCCCCGGACTCCTCCATAGTCAGACCCCCGGACTCCTCATAGTCAGACCCCCGGACCCACATAGTCAGACCCCCCGGACTCCCCCATAGTCAGACCCCCGGACTCCCCATAGTCAGACCCCCGGACTCCACATAGTCAGACCCCCGGACCCCATAGTCAGACCCCCGGACTCCCATAGTCAGACCCCCGGACTCCACATAGTCAGACCCCCGGACTCCACATAGTCAGACCCCCGGACTCCACATAGTCAGACCCCCGGACTCCCACATAGTCAGACCCCCGGACTCCACATAGTCAGACCCCCGGACTCCACATAGTCAGACCCCCGGACTCCACATAGTCAGACCCCCGGACTCCACATAGTCAGACCCCCGGACTCCACATAGTCAGACCCCCGGACTCCTCATAGACAGACCCCCGGACTCCACATAGTCAGACCCCCGGACTCCACATAGACAGACCCCCGGACTCCTCATAGACAGACCCCCGGACTCCTCATAGACAGACCCCCGGACTCCACATAGACAGACCCCCAGACTCCTCATAGACAGACCCCCGGACTCCTCATAGTCAGACCCCCGGACTCCACATAGTCAGACCCCCGGACTCCACATAGTCAGACCCCCGGACTCCACATAGTCAGACCCCCGGACTCCTCATAGTCAGACCCCCGGACTCCACATAGTCAGACCCCCGGACTCCCATAGTCAGACCCCCGGACTCCACATAGTCAGACCCCCGGACTCCCATAGTCAGACCCCCGGACTCCACATAGTCAGACCCCCGGACTCCACATAGTCAGACCCCCGGACTCCCACATAGTCAGACCCCCGGACTCCCATAGTCAGACCCCCGGACTCCACATAGTCAGACCCCCGGAGTCAGACCCACATAGTCAGACCCCCGGACTCCCATAGTCAGACCCCCAGACCCCCATAGTCAGACCCCCGGACTCCCATAGTCAGACCCCCGGACTCCACATAGTCAGACCCCCCCTCAGACCCCAGACATAGTCAGACCCCCGGACTCCCCATAGTCAGACCCCCGGACTCCCCATAGTCAAACCCCGGATCCACATAGTCAGACCCCCGGACTCAGACCCCTCATAGACAGACCCCCGGACTCCCACATAGTCAGACCCCCGGACTCCCACATAGTCAGACCCCCGGACTCCCATAGTCAGACCCCCGGACTCCTCATAGACAGACCCCCGGACTCCACATAGTCAGACCCCCGGACTCCACATAGTCAGACCCCCGGACTCCACATAGTCAGACCCCCGGACTCCACATAGTCAGACCCCCGGACTCCCACATAGTCAGACCCCGGACTCCCATAGTCAGACCCCCGGACTCCACATAGTCAGACCCCCGGACTCCACATAGTCAGACCCCCGGACTCCACATAGTCAGACCCCGGACTCCACATAGTCAGACCCCCGGACTCCACATAGTCAGACCCCCGGACTCCACATAGTCAGACCCCCGGACTCCACATAGTCAGACCCCCGGACTCCACATAGTCAGACCCCCGGACTCCACATAGTCAGACCCCCGGACTCCACATAGTCAGACCCCCGGACTCCACATAGTCAGACCCCCGGACTCCACATAGTCAGACCCCCGGACCCTCCACATAGTCAGACCCCCGGACTCCACATAGTCAGACCCCCCGGACTCCACATAGTCATACCCCCGGACTCCACAGACCCCCGGACTCCACATAGTCAGACCCCCGGACTCCACATAGTCAGACCCCCGGACTCCACATAGTCAGACCCCCGGACTCCACATATAGACAGACCCCGGACTCCACATAGTCAGACCCCCGGACTCCACATAGTCAGACCCCCGGACTCCACATAGTCAGACCCCCGGACTCCACATAGTCAGACCCCCGGACTCCACATAGTCAGACCCCCGGACTCCCATAGTCAGACCCCCGGACTCCACATAGTCAGACCCCGGACTCCTCATAGTCAGACCCCCGGACTCCTCATAGTCAGACCCCCGGACTCCTCATAGTCAGACCCCCGGACTCCACATGTCAGACCCCCGGACTCCTCATAGTCAGACCCCCGGACTCCACATAGTCAGACCCCCGGACTCCACATAGTCAGACCCCGGACTCCACATAGTCAGACCCCCAGACTCCACATAGTCAGACCCCCGGACTCCCATAGTCAGACCCCCGGACTCCCATAGTCAGACCCCCGGACTCCCCATAGTCAGACCCCCCGGACTCCCATAGTCAGACCCCCGGACCCCCATAGTCAGACCCCCGGACTCCACATAGTCAGACCCCCGGACTCCCCATAGTCAGACCCCCGGACTCCCATAGTCAGACCCCCGGACTCCCCATAGTCAGACCCCCGGACTCCCATAGTCAGACCCCGGACTCCCATAGTCAACCCCCGGACTCCTCATAGTCAGACCCCCCCCCATAGTCAGACCCCCCAGACTCCCCATAGTCAGACCCCCGGACTCCCCATAGTCAGACTCCCATAGTCAGACCCCCCATAATCAGACTCCCCATAGTCAGACCCCCAGACCCCCATAGTCAGACCCCCGGACCCCATATCAGACCCCCCCGGAGACCCCCATAATCAAACCCCCATAATCAGAACCCCGGACCCCATAGTCAGACCCCCATAGTCAGACCCCTGGACCCCCCATAGTCAGACCCCCATAGTCGGACCCCCATAGTCAGACTCCCCCATAATCAGACCCCAGGACCCCATAGTCAGACCCCATAGTCAGACCCCCCATAATCAGACCCCCGGATCCACATAGTCCCCCCTGGACTCCCATAGTCAGACCCCCGGACATAATCAGACCCCTGGACCCCCATAGTCAGACCTCCTGACACCCCATAGTCAGAACCCCGGACTTCCCATAGTCAGACCCCCGGACTTCCCATAGTCAGACCCCCCAGACTCCACATAGTCAGACCCCCAGACTCCCCATAGTTAGACCCCCGGACCCCCATAGTCAGACCCCCTGACTCCCATAGTCAGACCATAGTCAGATAGTCCCTGGACTCCCCATCAGACCCCAGACCCCCATAGTCGACCCCATAGTTAGACCCCATAGTCAGACCCCCGGCCCCCATAGTCAGACACCCGGACCCCCATAATCAGACCCCCATAATCAGATCCCTGGACCCCCATAGTGAGACCTCCAGACCCCCTATAGTCAGACCCCCATAGTCAGATCCACGGACCCCCATAGTTAGACCCCCGGACCCCCTTAGTCAGATCTCCTGACTCCCCATAGTCAGAACCCCCGTACTTCCCATAGTCAGACCCCGGACCCTCATAGTCAGACCCCCGGACTCCCCATAGACAGACCCATATAGTCAGACCCCCAGACTCCCCATAGTCAGCCCCTGGACTCCCCATAGACAGACCTCTGGACCCCCCCATAGTCAGACCCCCATAGCCAGATCCCTGGACTCCCCATAGTCAGACCCCCATAGTCAGACCCCCAGACTCCCCATAGTCAGCCCCCGGACTACCCCCATAGACAGACCTCTGGACCCCCCCATAGTCAGACCCCCATAGTCAGATCCCCAGACTCCCCTAGTCAGACCTACCCCCTACACCCCGATACCCCCCTACACCCCGGATACCCCCTACACCCCGATACCCCCTACACTCCCGATACCCCCTACACCCCGGATATACCCCGGATACCCTTTACACCCCGGATACCCCCTACACCCCGATACCCCCTACACCCCGGATACCCCCTACACCCCGGATACCCCCTACCCCGGATACCCCCTACACCCCGGATACCCCCTACACCCCGGATACCCCGGATACCCCCTACACCCGGATACCCCCTACACCCCGATACCCCCTACACCCCGGATACCCCGGATACCCCCTACACCCCAGATATACCCCCTACACTCCCGATACCCCCTACACCCCGGATACCCCCTACCCCGGATACCCCCTACGGATACCCGGATACCCCCTACACCCCGGATACCCCCTACACCCCGGATACCCCCTACACCCCGGATACCCCGGATACCCCCCTACACCCCGGATACCCCCTACACCCCGGTAACCCCTCTTTCCCCCCAGACACTCGCCTGCTGCTGCAGATCATCAGAGAGCCTCTGGCGTTGCCTCTCCCTCTCCTCCATGTCCTGCTTCAGCTCTCCAATCTCCACCTGTAGCTGCGCTCGCTCCCCCTGCAGCACACTGATCGACTCCACCAGCTTGTGAACCCCAACGGGGGGCAGGGGGGAGACTGAGTACCCCGAGTACAGCACACCTGGGGGGGGGGGACAATGCACTCATATGTAGAGTAATAAATAAAGATGGCCTTAGAGGCATACACCTGGGGGGGGGGGGCATATTCCAGGGGGCACACACCTAGGGGGGGGCATATTCCAGAAAACAAACAATCAGGGGGCATATTCTAGGGGGCGCATACCTAGGGGGGCATATTCCAGGGGGCACATACCTAGGGGGGCATATTCCAGGGGGCGTATACCTAGGGGGGCATATTCAGGGGGGCGTATACCTAGGGGGGCATATTCCAGGGGGTGTATACCTAGGGGGGCATATTCCAGGGGGCGTATACCTAGGGGGGCATATTCCAGGGGATACACACCTGGGGGGGGGGGCATATTCCAGCAAACAAACAATCAGGGGGCATATTCCAGGGGGCGTATACCTAGGGGGGCATATTCCAGGGGGCACACACCTAGGGGGGCATATTCCAGTGAACACAGGGGGTACACTCCTGGGGGGATAGTGCAGGGGGTAAACTTCTGGTGGGGTATAATGCACTGCAGGGGGAACACTTCTGGGGGGGGGTATAGTGCAGTGCTGCGGTACACTCCTGGGGGGGATAGTGCAGGGAATGCACTGCTAGGGGGATAGTGCAGTGCAGGGGGCAAACTCCTGGTGGAGAATAGTGAAGGGGGTACACTGCTGGGGGGGGGGATAGTGCAGTGCAGGGTGTAGACTGCTGGTGGGTATTGTGCAGTGCAGTGGGTACACTGCTGGGGGGGATAGTGCAGTGGGATTGTGCAGTGCATGGGGTACACTTCTGGGGGGGATAGTGCAGTGCAGGGGGTACACTGCTAGGGGGGGATAGTGCAGTGCAGGGGGTACACTGCTGGGGGGGGGATAGTGCAGTGCAGGGGGGGGGTACACTCTGGGGGATAGTGCAGTGCAGGGGGTACACTCCTGGGGGGGATAGTGCAGTGCAGGGGGTACTTTCCTGGGGGGGGGGGGGGATAGTGCAGTGCAGGGGGTACTCTCCTGGGGGGATAGTGCAGTGCAGGGGGTACACTCCTGGGGGGATGCAGTGCAGTGCAGGGGGTACTCTCCTGGGGGGGATAGTGAAGTGCAGGGGGTACACTCCTGGGGGGGATAGTGCAGTGCAGGGGGTACTCTCCTGGGGGGGATAGTGAAGTGCAGGGAGTACTCTCCTGGGGGGGATAGTGCAGTGCAGGGGGTACACTCCTGGGGGGATAGTGCAGTGCAGGGGGTACTCTCCTGGGGGGGGGTGCAGTGCAGGGGTACACTCCTGGGGGGGATAGTGCAGTGCAGGGGGTACACTCCTGGGGGGGACAGTGCAGTGCAGGGGGTACACTCCTGGGGGGGGACAGTGCAGTGCAGGGGGTACTCTCCTGGGGGGGACAGTGCAGGGGGTACTCTCCTGGGGGGGACAGTGCAGTGCAGGGGGTACTCTCCTGGGGGGGAACAGTGCAGTGGGGTACACTCCTGGGGGGGATAGTGCAGTGCAGGGGGTACTCTCCTGGGGGGGGGACAGTGCAGTGCAGGGGGTACACTCCTGGGGGGGGCAGTGCAGTGCAGGGGGTACTCTCCTGGGGGGGGGGGGACAGTGCAGTGCAGGGGGTAACTCCTGGGGGGGACAGTGCAGTGCAGGGGGGTACTCTCCTGGGGGGGACAGTGCAGTGCAGGGGGTACACTTATGGGGGGACAGTGCAGTGCAGGGGGTAGACTCCTGGGGGGGAAGTGCAGTGCAGGGGGTACACTCCTGGGGGGGACAGTGCAGTGCAGGGGGTACTCTCCTGGGGGGGGACAGTGCAGTGCAGGGGGTACAGTCCTGGGGGGGACAGTGCAGTGCAGGGGGTACACCTGGGGGGGGACAGTGCAGTGCAGGGGGTACACTGATGGGGGGACAGTGCAGTGCAGGGGGTACACTCCTGGGGGGGACAGTGCAGTGCAGGGGGTACACTCCTGGGGGGGACAGTGCAGTGCAGGGGGTACTCTCCTGGGGGGGACAGTGCAGTGCAGGGGGTACACTCCTGGGGGGGACAGTGCAGTGCAGGGGGTGCTCTCCTGGGGGGGGTACAGTGCAGGGGGGTACACTCCTTGGGGGGGCAGTGCAGTGCAGGGGGTACACTCCTGGGGGGGACAGTGCAGTGCAGGGGGTACACTCCTGGGGGGACAGTGCAGTGCAGGGGGTACACTCCTGGGGGGGGACAGTGCAGTGCAGGGGGTACTCTCCTGGGGGGGGCAGTGCAGTGCAGGGGGTACAGTCCTGGGGGGGCAGTGCAGTGCAGGGGTATAGTCCTGGGGGGACAGTGCAGTGCAGGGGGTACTCCTGGGGGGGACAGTGCAGTGCAGGGGGTACACTCTGGGGGGGACAGTGCAGTGCAGGGGGTACACTGATGGGGGGGTGCAGTGCAGGGGGTACTCCCTGAGGGGGGACAGTGCAGTGCAGGGGGTACACTCTGGGGGGAAAGTGCAGTGCAGGGTGGTACACAAGCCCATGGTGGTCCTGGGGGGGGGTAACTCTCCCTGGGGGGACAGTGCAGTGCAGGGGGTACAGTCCCTGGGGGGGACAGTAGTGCAAGGGGTATAGTCCTGGGGGGGACAGTGCAGTGCAGTGCAGGGGGTACAGTCCTGGGGGGGACAGTGCAGTGCAGGGGGTACACTCCTGGGGGGGGGGACAGTGCAGTGTGCAGGGGGTACACTGATGGGGGGGACAGTGCAGTGCAGGGGGTACATTGGATACTGGGAGGAGATGGCACTCCCTGCACTCTCACCTTTCTGCAGCCTCTCCAGGAGGCTCTGTTGCTCGCAGATGACGCTCTCCAGGCTCTCGATGAGGCTGAGTTTGTCTCTCATGCGTTGCCGGTGGGCGTGTCTCAGGCTCCTCATCTGCCTCTTGCGGCGGCGCTCCTCCCTGCGGAGCTGTGTGCGGTACTCCTCCGCCTTCCCCTGCAGGCGCTGCATCTGGGAGTACTGCTCCAGGAAGGTGATCAGGTGGGACATGACGGTGAGGAGCGGAGAGGAGCCCTGTGGGGGAGGAGACAGATACATGAAGGGGGGGAGAGGAGCCCTGTGGGGGAGGAGACAGATACATGAAGGGGAGGGGAGCCCTGTGGGGGAGGAGAGGGGAGAGGAGCCCTGTGGGGGAGGGACAGATACATGATACATGAAGGGGAGGAGAGGAGCCCTGTGGGGGAGGAGACAGATACATGAAGGGTGAGGGGAGATACATGAAGGGGAGGAGAGGAGCCCTGTGTGGGGGAGGGGACAGATACATGAAGGGGAGGAGAGGAGCCCTGTGGGGGAGGGGACAGATACATGAAGGGGAGGAGAGGAGCCCTGTGGGGGAGGAGACAGATACATGAAGGGAGCCCTGTGGTGAAGGAGGGATACATGAAGGGGAGGAGCGGGGAGAGGAGCCCTGTGGGGGAGGGAGACAGATACATGAAGGGGAGGATCGGAGAGGAGCCCTGTGGGGGAGGGGACAGATACATGAAGGGGAGGAGCGGAGAGGAGCCCTGTGGGGGAGGGGACAGATACATGAAGGGGAGGAGGCGGGAAGAGGAGCCCTGTGGGGGAGGGGACAGATACATGAAGGGGAGGAGCGGAGGGGGGGAGCCTGTGGAGGAGGGGACAGATACATGAAGGGGAGGAGCGGAGAGGAGCTCTGTGGGGGAGGGGACAGATACCCTGTGGGGGAGGGGACAGATACATAAAGGGGAGGAGAGGAGAGGAGCTCTGTGGGGGAGGGGACAGATTCCCGGGATGTGTATGATGATTGTGATTGGCTGCAGCACACATAACACACGGGACCAATCAGATTGGACGATGTATGTTCCGCCATCCAATCAGGAGAGGCTGTGGAAAGTTGTACAATCAGATTGGACGATGTGTGGATTTACCTTCCCGGGGACTCGGAGCGGCAGACATCGATCGTTCCGTCTCCTGCTTGAAGGCCAAGAATTCGGTGAGAGGGGAGGAGATATCGTCCAGACCTGGATCCCCAACTCCGCCCACTTCATCCTCCAATCCGGAGCTCCCGTCATCGCTGCCTGCCGGAGAATCACACAGGTCACCGACCACAAGGACCGCCCCCTACCTGCCTGCCGGAGAGTCACACGGGTCACCGACCACAAGGACCGCCCCCTACCTGCCTGCCGGAGAGTCACACGGGTCACCGACCACCGAGGACCGCCCCCTACCTGCCTGCCGGAGAATCACACGGGTCACCGACCACCGAGGACCGCCCCCTACCTGCCTGCCGGAGAATCACACGGGTCACCGACCACCGAGGACCGCCCCCTACCTGCCTGCCTGGGAGAATCACACGGGTCACCGACCACCGAGGACCGCCCCCCTGCCTGCCGGAGAGAGTCACACGGGTCACCGACCACCGAGGACCGCCCCCTACCTGCCTGCCGGAGAGTCACACGGGTCACCGACCACCGAGGACCGACCACACGAGCCGCCCCCTACCTGCCTGCCGGAGAGTCACACGGGGTCACCGACCACCGAGGACCGCCCCCTACCTGCCTGCCGGAGAGTCACACGGGTCACCGACCACGAGGACCGCCCCCTACCTGCCTGCCGGAGAAGTCACACACGGGTCACCGACCACCGAGGACCGCCCCCTACCTGCCTGCCGGAGAGTCACACGGGTCACCGACCACCGAGGACCGCCCCCTACCTGCCTGCCGGAGAGTCACACGGGTCACCGACCACCGAGGACCGCCCCCTACCTGCCTGCCGGAGAGTCACACGGGTCACCGACCACCGAGGACCGCCCCCTACCTGCCTGCCGGAGAGTCACAGGGGGTCACCGACCACCGAGGACCGCCCCTACCTGCCTGCCGGAGAGGTCACACACGGGTCACCGACCACCGAGGACCGCCCCCTACCTGCCTGCCGGAGAGTCACACGGGTCACCGACCACCGAGGACCGCCCCCTACCTGCCTACCGGAGAATCACACGGGTCACCAACCACCGAGGACCGCCCCCTACCTGCCTGCCGGAGAGTCACACGGGTCACCGACCACCGAGGGACCGCCCCCTACCTGCCTGCCGGAGAGTCACACGGGTCACCGACCACCGAGGACCGCCCCCTACCTGCCTGCCGGAGAATCACACGGGTCACCGACCACCGAGGACCGCCCCTACCTGCCTGAGAGTCATCACACGGGTCACCGACCACCGAGGACCGCCCCCTACCGAGCCTGCCGGAGAGTCACACGGGTCACCGACCGACCACCGAGGACCGCCCCCTACCTGCCTGCCGGAGAGTCACAGGGGTCACCGACCGACCACCGAGGACCGCCCCCTACCTGCCTGCCTGAGAGTCACACGGGTCACCGACCACGAGGACCGCCCCCTACCTGCTGCCGGAGAATCACACGGGTCACCGACCACCGAGGACCGCCCCCCTACCTGCCTGCCGGGAGAGTCACACGGGTCACCGACCACCGAGGACCGCCCCCTACCTGCCTGCCTGAGAGTCACACGGGTCACCAACGACCACGAGGACCGCCCCCTACCTGCCTGCCGGAGAATCACAGGGGTCACCGACCACCGAGGACCGCCCCCTACCTGCCTGCCGGAGAGTCACACGGGTCACCGACCACGAGGACCGCCCCCTACCTGCCTGCCGGAGAGTCACACGGGGTCACCGACCACCGAGGACCGCCCCCTACCTGCCTGCCGGAGAATAGTCACACGGGTCCACCGACCACCCGAGGACCGCCCCCTACCTGCCTGCCTGAGAATCACACAGGGGTCACCGACCCACCGAGGACCGCGCCCCCTACCTGCCTGCCGGAGAGTCACACGGGTCACCGACCACCGAGGACCCGCCCCCTACCGGCCTGCCAGAGAATCACACGGGTCACCGACCACCGAGGACCGCCCCCTACCTGCCTGCCGGAGAGTCACACGGGTCACCGACCACCGAGGACCGCCCCCTACCTGCCTGCCGGAGAATCACACGGGTCACCGACCACCGAGGACCGCCCCCTACCTGCCTGCCTGAGAATCACAGGGGTCACCGACCACCGAGGACCGCCCCCTACCTGCCTGCCTGAGAATCACACAGGTCACCGACCACCGAGGACCGCCCCCCTACCTGCCTGCCGGAGAATCACACGGGTCACCGACCACCGAGGACCGCCCCCTACCTGCCTGCCGGAGAGTCACACGGGTCACCGACCACCGAGGACCGCCCCCTACCTGCCTGCCGGAGAGTCACACGGGTCACCGACCACCGAGGACCGCCCCCTACCTGCCTGCCGGAGAATCACACGGGTCACCGACCACCACCGCCCCCTACCTGCCTGGACACGGGTCACCGACCACCGAGGACCGCCCCCTACCTGCCTGCCGGAGAGTCACACGGGTCACCGACCACCGAGGACCGCCCCCTACCTGCCTGCCTGAGAATCACACGGTCACCGACCACGAGGACCGCCCCCTACCTGCCCTGCTGCCGGAGAATCACACGGGTCACCGACCACCGAGGACCCGCCCCCCTACCTGCCTGCCGGAGAGTCACACGGGTCACCGACCACCGAGACCGCCCCCTACCTGCCGAGAGCGAATCCACAACGGGTCCTACCGACCCAAGGACCCGCCCCCTACCAGCCTGAGAGAGTCACACGGGTCACCGACCACCGAGGACCGACCCCCCTACCTGCCTACTGAGTCATCAGGGTCACCGACCAGCCGAGGACCGTCACCTGCCAGGGCCGGAGAGTCACACGGGTCAACGACCACCGAGGACCGCCCCCTACCTGCCTGCCGGAGAATCCGGAGTCACATGACCACCGACCGCCCCCTACCTGCCGGAGAGTCACACAGGTCACCGACCACCGAGGACCCCCCCTACCGGCCTGCCTGAGAATCACAGGGGTCACCGACCACCGAGGACCGCCCCCTACCTGCCTGCCTGAGATCACTTCGGGGTCACCGACCACTGAGGACCGCCCCCTACCTGCCTGCCTGAGAATCACAGGGTCACCGTCCACGAGGACCGCGCCCCCTACCTGCCTGCCTGAGAATCACACGGGTCACCGACCACCAAGAGGACCACCCCCTACCCCTGCCTGCCGGAGAGAGTCACACACGGGTCACCGACCACAGAGGACTGCCCCCTACCTGCCTGCCGGAGAGTCACACGGGTCACCGACCACCGAGGACCGCCCCCTACCTGCCTGCCTGAGAATCACACAGGGGTCACCGACCACCGAGGACCGCCCCCCCTACCAGCCTGCCGGAGAATCACACGGGTCACCGACCACCGAGGACCGCCCCCTACCGGCCTGCCGGAGAGTCACACGGGTCACCGACCACTGAAAACCATTCATTGGAGCTCCGCCTCATTTCCTGGCTGGAGGATGTCCGGCATCATCTAGCCCCTTTCCTCCTCGGCCTGACTGTCCTTGACCCCCCGCCCCTTATCTCCCCAGTCTGTCTCTGGTCCCACCTCTTTCCCCCATATCTTGGCTGTCTTTGGCCCCGCCTCTTCCATTCATTGGATTTCAGTTCTTCCCTTCAAGGCATTTATATATTTGCATAACTCCTCCCATTGCCCCACCCACTGATTTAATCAGGACTGAGAGCTCCTGGGAGGAGTCCTGAGGGCTGGGATGTTTTCAGGAAGCTATGTACAGCCCCCTGCTGGCCACTCCCACCAGCCATGATCTGCCTGCATTGCATAGAGAAGCACAGATGTCCAGTGATGACATCATCAATATAAAGTAAACAATCAAACTGGAAAGTTTTCCTTCCCAAAGTCATTGTTATGATAATGAGGGGAGGGGTTAAGGAGGGAGGAACATAAGCTGATTGGACCGGCACATTGTACAGAGATCGGCCAATCAGATTGTGTCCTCTGTAGTCATGGTGTCGCCTACTTTCCAGCTCGTCCTCTTCTGACCACACCGCGCTCTTCTGCGCCTCGCCGGCAGCGTCTTCGTCCTGTGGGGGAGGAGCAAGTGAGAGTCGTATATACCACAGGTGTGACATCACAGAGACTCGATTATTTCTGGGAGTCGTCCTTCCTAGTCAGAGGAATCATCGTTCATGTCTACTAGAGCCGTATACTGGAGGTGGGGGGGGGTGTATACAGAGCCGTATACGGGAGGTGGGGGGGTGGTATACAGAGCCGTATACCGGAGGTGGGGGGGTGTATACAGAGCCGTATACCGGAGGTGGGGGGGGTGTATACAGAGCCGTATACGGAGGTGGGGGGTGTATACAGAGCCGTATACCGGAGGTGGGGGGGGTGTATACAGAGCCGTATACCGGAGGTGGGGGGGTGTATACAGAGCCGTATACCGGAGGTGGGGGGGGGGTGTATACAGAGCCGTATACCGGAGGTGGGGGGTGTATACAGAGCCGTATACCGGAGGTTGGGGGGGTTATACAGAGCCGTATACCAGAGGTGGGGGGGAGTATACAGAGCCGTATACCGGAGGTGGGGGGAGTATACAGAGCCGTATACCGGAGGTGGGGGGGGGTGTATACAGAGCCGTATACCGGAGGTGGGGGGGAGTATACAGAGCCGTATACCGGAGGTGGGGGGTGTATACAGAGCCGTATACCGGAGGTGGGGGGGGTTATACAGAGCCGTATACCGGAGGTGGGGGGTGTATACAGAGAGCCGTTATACCGGAGGTGGGGGGGTGTATACAGAGCCGTATACCGGAGGTGGGGGGGTGTATACAGAGCCGTATACCGGAGGTGGGGGGTGTATACAGAGCCGTATACCGGAGGTGGGGGGGTGTATACAGAGCCGTATACCGGAGGTGGGGGGGGTGTATACAGAGCCGTATACCGGAGGTGGGGGGGGGGTGTATACAGAGCCGTATACCGGAGGTGGGGGGGAGTATACAGAGCCGTATACCGGAGGTTGGGGGGTGTATACAGAGAGCCGTATACCAGAGGTGGGGGGGGGGAGTATACAGAGCCGTATACCGGAGGTGGGGGGGAGTATACAGAGCCGTATACCGGAGGTGGGGGGGGGTGTATACAGAGCCGTATACCGGAGGTGGGGGGTGTATACAGAGCCGTATACCGGAGGTGGGGGTGTACAGAGCCGTATACCGGAGGTGGGGGGTTAGCCGTATACCGGAGGTGGGGGGGTGTATACAGAGCCGTATACCGGAGGTGGGGGGTGTATACAGAGCCGTATACCGGAGGTGGGGGGAATGTATACAGAGCCGTATACCGGAGGTGGGGAATGTATACAGAGCCGTATACCGGAGGTGGGGGGGGTGTATACAGAGCCGTATACCGGAGGTGGGGGGGTATACAGAGCCGTATACCAGGAGCCGTATACAGAGCCGTATACCGGTGGGGGGGTGTATACAGAGCCGTATACCGGAGGCGGGGGTGGGAGGGGAGGCGAGGGGTGTATACAGAGCCGTATACCGGAAGTGGGGGGGGGGTGTATACAGACCGTATACCGGAGGTGGGGGGGGTGTATACAGAGCCGTATACCGGAGGTGGGGGGTGTATACAGAGCCGTATACCGGAGGTGGGGGGGTGTATACAGAGACCGTATACCGGAGGTGGGGGGGTGTATACAGAGCCGTATACCGGAGGTGGGGGGGGTGTATACAGAGCCGTATACCGGAGGTAGGGGGGGGAGTATACAGAGCCGTATACCGGAGGAGGTGGGGGGTGTATACAGAGCCGTATACCGGAGGTGGGGGGTGTATACAGAGCCGTATACGGAGGTGGGGGGTGTATACAGAGCCGTATACCGGAGGTGGGGGGGTGTATACAGAGCCGTATACCGGAGGTGGGGGGGGTGTATACAGAGCCCGTATACCGGAGGTGGGGGGGTGTATACAGAGCCGTATACCGGAGGTGGGGGGGGTGTATACAGAGCCGTATACCGGAGGTGGGGGGGGTGTATACAGAGCCGTATACCGGAGGTGGGGGGGAGTATACAGAGCCGTATATTGGTGGGGGGTCAGTATACAGAGCCATACCGGAGGTGGGGGGGTGTATACAGAGCCATATACTGGAGGTGTGGGGGTGTATACAGAGCCATATACTGGAGGTGGGGGGGAGTATACAGAGCCGTATTACGGAGGACTGTATTGTGTCAGTGTTGCCATGGTGATGACTGTATTGATCGGGTGTCAGTGTCGCTTGGTGATGACTGTATTGATCTGGTATCAGTGTTGCCATGGCGAGGACTGTATTGATCGGTGTCACTGTCGCCATGGTGATGACTGTATTGATCGGGTGTCAGTGTCGCCATGGTGATGACTGTATTGATCGGGTGTCAGTGTCGCCATGGTGATGACTGTATTGATCGGTGTCAGTGTCGCCATGGTGATGACTGTATTGATCGGGTGTCAGTGTTGCCATGGCGAGGGCTGTATTGATCTGGTGTCAGTCAGTGTCGCCATGGCGATGACTGTATTGATCTGGTGTCAGTGTTGCCATGGTGGATGACTGTATTGATCTGGTGTCAGTGTCGCCATGGTGATGACTGTATTGATCTGATGTCAGTGTTGCCATGGCGAGGACTGTATTGATCGGGTGTCACTGTCGCCATGGTGATGACTGTATTGATCTGGTGTCAGTGTCGCTTGGTGATGACTGTATTGATCTGGTGTCAGTGTTGCCATGGTGATGACTGTATTGATCGGGTGTCACTGTCGCCATGGTGATGACTGTATTGATCGGGTGTCATTGTTGCCATGGTGATGACGCAGTGTCATTGTCCTCGGTATCCGGGAGGAGAGGACGGGCCGTGATTGGTCAGCTGATAATTAGAAGCTCAGATTTGTCGATATTAATAACAATATTGATCGTCTCTGAGCCGCCTTCTGTTTCCATCGCAGGGAGCAATTTGATTGTCCCCATCCCCCTCACACAGTACCCAAGGGGGCTCCTCCATGGCTGCCAGCAAATCACAGCAACCAATCAGATGTTACCTTTCATCACTCAAAGAAGCTCTGTGATTGGTTGCTGTCTGCTGCCCTATAGGGCCCCTAGAGGAGGTGAAATGTCATGGTGAAGTGAGAACTGTCTGTGGTGCCTTGGGGGAGGGGAGGACTGAACCTTTATTCCTGATATCAGCCTCCAACAGTCCATGCACAGCAGAGCTCAGACTGGGGGAGGGAGAAACAGCACAAGGAGCCAATCAGGTGTGCTGTAGTAATCCTATGATATCAAGCAGTATGCTGATAGGAGGAGAGAGGAGAGGAGTCTTCTACTACTGTCCAATCACAGGCTGGGGGCGGGACAAGACGTGTGGGTTTTACTGAACCACAGTATAGATTCAAATCCTGTCTCCTCCCCTGATAGATAGGGCTGTGCTGTGTGACAGAGCTGTGTAAATCTCAGGACTGGATGGACCGCTCCCATCTTGGTCAGCAGTAAAGATCCATTACAGGTCATATCCCGCCCCCAACTTATGATTGGACAGTGAAAGGAGAAGCACGAAGCTGATGAGTTCACCTTTGTCACTCTGCTCTCTCCTCCTAGCAGCAGACTCCGTACCCTGCAGTGCATCCCATGGTCTCCTAGTCTGAGCTCTGCTGTACAGGGATTGGAAGAGGCCGATACCAGGTCCCTTTCAGGGACTTACACTGCTTGTATGACTGGTGGTGCTGTGCAGAGTATGGCTGTCTGCGTCCCCAATGAGAAGACTCCATCTCCCTGTATTTCTCTGGTGTCACCGAGACAGGAAGTGATGGGAAATCTTCCCACGGGGACACTTGTTCTGGAGACTTCCTCTCACTTCCTGTTGTGTCTCGGGGACAGGAAATCAGGAGACGTGATTGTTCAGAAGATCTACAACATCAACTACTGGGCTCATTTCCTATCAGAATATGATGGGCCCCGGTTCCTTATGTATTGGCCCTGGGGCCCCGGTTCCTTATGTATTGGCCCCGGGGCCCCGGTTCCTTATGTATTGGCCCCAGTCCCCAGTTCTTGGGGGGATCTGTCCATCTCAGCTCCATAGATAACACAGAGGGATGATTATGAATGATGGTGGAGTCCCCCCACAGGATCCATCACTTCTCGAGCACCGAAGAAGGAAACATCGCCATGGCAACAGCATCTCCGTACCATTCCATCGTCATTCATCACACATCAGCCATCTACAGGGAATCACCAGATTTACTCAGGTGGGCCCCAATATCAGCCTGGAGAAGGGCCCCTGGGGGGCGGGGCACTTCCTAGTTATTCCACAAAGGATTCCATTCACAACGTGTCCATCCCATCCAACACCCACCTTCTGGGGCCCCTGTTCATAGGGCCCCTCCACTCTCCCTGCAGAGGGCCGCTTCCTGAAGAAGGTGTAGATGATGTACACCAGCAGGGAGTAGAAGGCGTACATGCTGGGAGTTGTTGTCCTTCAGGGAGCTGAACCGATCTTCATGGAAGAGAAGAGCAGAAATCAGGAACAGCGGGGGGCCAAGGAGAGACAAATCCGACTAACCATCCCCCCCATCCCGAATCCTCATCCCCCCCATCCCGAATCCCCATCCCCCACCATCCCGAATCCTCATCCCCCCCATCCCGAATCCCCATCCCCCACCATCCCGAATCCTCATCCCCCACCATCCCGAATCCTCATCCCCCCCATCCCGAATCCCCATCCCCCACCATCCCGAATCCTCATCCCCCCATCCCGAATCCCCATCCCCCACCATCCCGAATCCTCATCCCCCCATCCCGAATCCCCATCCCCCACCATCCCGAATCCTCATCCCCCACCATCCCGAATCCTCATCCCCCCCATCCCGAATCCCCATCCCCCACCATCCCGAATCCTCATCCCCCCATCCCGAATCCTCACCCCCCCCATCCCGAATATTCATCCTCCATATTCATCCCCCACCATCCCGAATCCTCATCCCCCCCATCCCGAATCCTCATCTCACACCATCCTGAATCCCCATCCCCCACCATCCCTAATATTCATCCCCCCCATCCAGAATCCCATCCCCCCCATCCTGAATCCCTATCCCCCACCATCCCGAATCCCCATCCCCCATATTCACCCCCCCATCCCGAATCCCCATCCCCCCATCCCGAATCCTCTTCCCCCCCATCCTGAAATATTCATCCCCATATTCATCCCCCACCATCCCGAATCCCCATCCCCCATATTCATCCCCCCCATCCCAAATCCTCATCCCCCCCATCCCGAATCCCCATACCCCCCCCCCATCCCGAATCCCCATCCCCCACCATCCCGAATCTCCATCCCCCACCATCCCGAATCCTCATCCCCCCATCCCCCACCATCCCAAATCCCCATCTCCCACCATCCCGAATCCTCATCCCATCCCCCCATCCCCAATATTCATCCCCCCACCATCCCCAATATTCATCCCCCACCAAATCCCCAATATTCATCCCCCCCATCCCATCCCAATCCTCATCCCCCCCCCTCCATCCCAAATCCTCATCCCCCACCATCCCAAATCCTCATCCCCCCACCATCCATCATTCAAATCCTCATCCCCCACCATCCCCCAAATCCTCATCCCCCCACCATCCCAATCCTCATCCCCCCACCATCCCAAATCCTCATCCCCCAGCCAAGAACCCACCATCCCCACCATCCATGAGATCCCCTCCCTCCATCTACAGCATCCCCATCCCACCCTCCGACACATCGTCCTCCCCTCCTCTATTCCCAAATCTTCACTGCAGGACCATCCTCCTCCTCCTCCTCCTCTGCATCATCCCCCCTCTCTCCTCCCCTCCTCCCCCCCATTCCTTCCTCCTCCTCCATCCAAATCCCTCAACCCCCCCTCCCTCCCCCCCTCCCCTCCATCCCCCAATCCTTTCATCCCCCCCATCCCCACTCCTTCCCCTCCCCCTCCTCCCCCCCCCTCCCCTTCCCCCCTCCCCATCCTCCCCCCCCTCCTCCCCCCCTTTCCCCCCCTCCCCCCCCCCCTCCCCCCATCCCCTCCCACCTCACCATCTCTCCTCCTCCTCCATCCCCATTCCTTCCCCTCCCCCTCTCTCCTCCTCCCCCCCCAACCCCTCCTCCCCCCCCCCCTCCACTACCCCCCCCCCCTCCCCTCCCTCCATCCTCCCCACCCTCCCTCCCCCCCCCTCCCCCCCTCCCTCCCCCTCCCCCCCCCCCCCCCTCCCCTCATCACCTCCTCCTCCTCCTTCTCCCTCCCACCCTCCCCTCCTCCATCCCCCCCTCCTCCTCCTCCTCCCCCCCACTCCCCTCCTCCTCCCCCCCTCCATCCATCCTCCCTCCCCCTCCCCCTCCTCCTCTCACCCCATCCCCCCCCCCTCCCATTCCCCCCTCCTCCCATCCCCATCCCCCCTCTCCCCCCCTCCTCTCCTCCTCCTCTTTCCCCTCTCCTTCTCCCCCTCCATCTCCCCTCCCTCCCCATCCATCATCCCATCTCTTCCCCTCCTCCCCCCCCCCCTTCACCCCCATCCTCCTTCCCCCATCTCCCTCCCTCCTCCTCCTTCTTCACCTCCCCCACCACCCCTCACCCCCCCCTCCTCCCCCCCCCCCCCTCCCCCCCCCATCCCCCCTCCCCCCCATTTCTCCCCCCCCCCCCCTCCTCATCCTCCCCCCCCTTCCCCCCCCCTCATCCTCACTCTTCCCCCTTCCACTTCTTCCCTCCCCCCACCATCATCCCAACTCTTCTCCCTCCTCCATCCACCACCCCCTCCTTTTCCACCTCCCTCCTCCTTCTCTCACCCCTCTCCCCTCTCCCCTTCCCCCCCATCATCCTCCACCTCCATCCCTCCCCCCTCCCTCCTCCTCTCCATCCCCCCCCATCCCCCCCCCCCCCCAACTCCCCTCCCCCCTCTCCTCTTCCTTCCCCACCTCCTCCCCCCCCATCTCCCCCTCCTCCCCCTCCATCTTCCCCATCCCCCACCCCCCCCTTCCTTCTCCTCCTCCCCATCCCCCCCCCCCCCCTCCTCCCTCTCATCCCCCTCCCCCCCCCCTTCACCCATCCCCCCCCATCCCCCCCCTCCTTCTCCCCTTCTCTCCCATCATTCCCCCCCCTCCCCCTTTCCCCTCCCCCCCCCCCATCCCCCCTCCCCCCCCTCTCCTCCCACCCCCCCCTTCATCCCCCCCCCCCATCTCCCCTCCCCCCCCCCCTCCCCCCCCCCCACCCCTTCTCCCCTCCCCCCCCATCCCATCACCCCCCCCCCTCCATCCCCCCACCCCCTCCCCCCTCCACCCCCCATCCTCTTCTATCCCCCCCCCCTCCCCTCTTCCCCCCCCCATCCCCCCAATCTCTCCATCTCCCCTCCATCCCTTCTCCCCCCCCCCTCTCCCCCCCCCCCCTCTCCCTCCCACTCCCTCCCCCCCCCCCCTTCTCACCATCCCCCCCCCCCATTCTTCCCCCCCCTCCCCATCCTCCCCCTCCCCTCCCCCTCCCTCCCTCCTTCCCATCCCCCTCCCCTCCTTCACCATCCCCCCCCCCTCCCTCCCCCTCCCTAATCCCCTCTCTCCTCTCTTCCCCCCCTTCTTCATCCTCCCCCCCCCCCTCCCCCCCTCCATCCCCCCCCCCTCACCTCCCCCCCTCCTCCCCCTATCCCCCCCCCCTCCCCTCTTCCCCCCCTTCTACCCTTCTTCATCCCCCCCTCTCCCCCCACTTCCTCTTCCCCTCCCCCATCCATCACCCTTCTCTCCTCCCCCCCCTCTCCCCCCTCCCCCCCCCCCCCCCTCCCCCTTTCCCCTTTTCTTTCCTCTCTCCCCCTCCTCCCCTCCATTCCCCATCATCCCTCCTTCTCCCCTCTCCCCCTCCCCTCCTCCTCCCCCCCCTCCATCCCCTCTCTCCCCCCCCTCCATCTCCCCCCCCCTCCCCTCCCTCCATCCCCCCCCCTCCCAATCCCTCCTCAACCCCCCTCCCCCCCCCTCCTCCCCCCCCCCCCCCCATCCCCATCCCCCCCTCTTCTCCCCTCCCTCCTTCTTTCCCCCTCCCCCCTCCTTCATCTCCCCCCCCCCTCCCATCTTCCCTCCCCTCATCCCCCCACCCCTCCCCCCATCCCCCCTCCCTCATCTCCTCCCCTCCCCTCCCCCTCCCTATCCCCCCCCTCCCACTCCCCCCTCCCCCATCCTCCCTTCCTCCTTCCCTCCACCCCCCCCCCTCCCCTCCCTCCTTTCCCTCCCCTCCCCCCCCCCCCCCTCCCTCCTTCTCCCTCCTCCATTCCTCCCTCCCCCTCCATCCCTCTCCTCTCCCCCCTCCTTCCCCATCCCATCTCCCTCCTCCATCCCTCACTTCCCCCTCCTTCCCTACCACTCCTTTTCCCCACCATCCCTCCCCTCCTCCCATCTCTCCTCCTCTTCTATCCCCCCTCTCCCTCTCCCTCCTCCTCTTCCATCCCCCCATCCCTCACCATCTCCCTCCTCCTCAACCCCCCCTACTCTCCCCTTCCCCTCTTCCTTTCCCCTCCTTTTTCCCATCCCCCTCCCATCCCCCATCCTCCTTTCCTCCTCTCCCCCTTCCACCCCCTCCACCTCTCTCTCCTTCCTCCCCCCCATCCTCACCATCTCTCTATCCTTCATCCCCTCCAATCTTTCCTTCTCCATCCTTCCCTCCCCCCCTTTTCCATCATCCATCCCTCCTCCCCTCCTTCCTCTCCCCCCTCCCATCCCTCCCCCCTATCCCTTCATCATCCCCCCTCTCCTCCTCCTCCTTTTCCCGCCATCCTCACCATCTCTCTCCCCCTATCCCCCTCCTCCTCCTCCCTCCTCCTCAATCTCACCATCCTCTCCTCCTCCTCCTATCCCGCCATCCCTCACCTCTCTCCTCCTCCTTCATCCCACATCCATCCCTCTCTCTCCATCCTCCTCTATCCTCACCATCCCTCCTCCTCCTCTATCTCATCCTCCCTTCCTTCCTCTTCCCCCCATCCTCCACCCTTCCCTCCTCCTCCTCTATCCTCACCATTCCCTCCTCCCCTCTCCTCCTCCCATCCCTCCCCTTTCCTCATCCTCCCATCCCTCCTCCCCTATCCTCACCATCTCTCCTCCTCCTCTATCCTCACCATCTCTCCTTCTCCTCTTCCTCCCCACCTCACTCCCTCCTCCTCTATCCTCACCATCCCTCCCTCCTCCTCTATCCTCACCATCCCTCCTCTCCTCTATCCTCACCATCTCTCCCTCCTCCTCTATCCCGCCATCCTCACCATCTCTCCTCCTCCTCCCTCCTCTCCTCTCCCTCTATCCTCACCATCCCTCCTCGTCCTCCTATCCTCACCATCTCTCCTCCTCCTCTATCCCGCCATCCTCACCATCCCTCCTCCTCCTCTATCCTCACCATCCCCCTCCTCCTCCTCTATCCTCACCATCCCTCCTCGTCCTCTATCCTCACCATCTCTCCTCCTCCTCTATCCCGCCTG